AAGGGATTGTAAAGTTCTCAAACTAAACCAATATGATATACTAACCAGGGAAAATAAGTCAAAGACAGTGAATGGTTTTTGTTGTACAAAATAGAAATAGCAGGATGACTAAGGGGCTTCCCTGGTGGCTTAGATGGTAAAGAATCCGCCTACCATGTGGGAGACCTAGGTTCAATCCCTGGGTCAGGAAGATCCCCTGGAGGAGGGCATGGCAACCCACTCCAGTATTCTTGCCTGGAGAATCCCATGGACAGAAGAGCCTGGCAGGCTACAGTCCATGGGGTTGCAAAGAGTTGGACACGACTGAGCAACTACGCACAGCACTCCCAAATGAGAGGGAAAATGTTGTCAGATTGCCTAGCAGGTGCCTGCAAATTCACATCTAAAATACATGTACAAACCCAACTTCCAATGGAAGAAAAAGAGAGTTGGAAAACCAGGGATTGAAAATGGTAATGTTTGATTGCAAGCCATCATTTTTAGAGGAAACACAGGCTTGTGATTAAGAGCCTGGACTCTCATTATGCTTCTTCACCCTTACCCCTCAATTTCCCCATCTTTCCAAAGGGATGGTAAGAATAGCACCTACCTCCTGAAATTGTTATAGGAGTTAGCATATGTCTTGCCCTTTGGACAGCATCAGAAGCATAGTAAGGGTCATATAGGTGTAGGCTCGTGGAGAAAATACTCTAAGAATGGAAGATACTTGGTGTGTTTGAGAACAGCAAGAGACTAGTGGAGCTTAACCAGTGAATAAAGGGGAGAGTGACAGCCAAGGTCAAAGAGACAACAAGAACCTGTAGGTCATTTACTAATTGGAATAAAAATCATTAAATGAATCACTCTGAGTGCTGAGCTGAGAAGAGACTACAGAAGAGGTTGAGGGTCAGGTAGGGAGATCTGTTGGGATGCTACAGCTATTGAGAGGCAAGAGCTTACGGGGTCTCTTGGGACAGTAGTGGACGTGGTGATATATTTGGAAAGTAGAGACTATAGGACTGGGTGATGGTTTGAATATGGGGTATGAGATAAAGAGCCCAGGAATTAAAGGATGAAATTGCCATCAATGGAGACAGAGAAGACTGTGGGGAAAAGGGAGGTTGGGAAGAACAAAGTTTCAGTTTGGAATATGATAAATTTGAGATATCTATTAGGCCTCTAAGGGGACTAATATAAATATAAATACACTAATATAAATATATACTATTCTTCCAAGTGAACACCATGCTGGTTGGTTTAATTAATTCTTGCATTCTTCTAACATTATGCAATCACATGTGGTCACTGCATAATATAAAAGACAGTCAGGTCCTTTGATGCATGTCGTCATAGGGTACCATGAATGGCACTGTGGAAAGACCCTAGCCTTTTGGGACAGGCATGTTTGAATCTTGTTTCTGACTCTTCTTGGCTCTCTCTCTTAGGCCTACCTGATGAAACTCAACACATCTAAACTGCTTCTTCCAAGTATGGATACTAATTTTCTTTCAGCCTTACAGCCTTGTAATTTCCAAACACAGATAATGTATGCAAAGTGCTTACTCATGATAGACGGATAGGGAAACAATTGCTTATACTTTCTTCAAAATAGATATCCAGATCTGTCTTCTTTCTGGTCCACTCTGTCTTATGAACAACCACAGTACTTGGAAAGAATAGGAGGGGTAACCGACAACCACTTTCATAAGAAACCCTGAATTAAAGTTCTTGAAACCAGGTTGTTTGAGAGGAGTAGACCACAAATATTGATACAAATTTGGGGAATCTGACCCACCTTATTGGGTTTCCCAAGTGGCACTACTGGTAAAGAACCCACCTGCCAATGCAGGAGACTTAAGAGATGCAGGTTTGATCCCTGGGTTGGGAATATCCCCTGAAGGAGAACGTGGCAATCTACTCCAGTATTCTTGCCTAGAGAAACACGTGGACAGAGAAGCCTGGCGGGCTACAGCCCACAGAGTCTCAGAGAGACCTACCTTAGCACAGATTCTTAACATTCCAAGCTTTGTGGAAGTAGAGAAAGAGGAACGGGGTTTGACATAATAATATCTAAACCTACAGTCCTAGAGCAACTTTAAATGAATTCCCAATAACAGTATCTAGCAGATGTTATTTGAAGCAGTTTGTGTTTGGTTTTCTCAACAGTTCTCTCTATAATTCAATGGAAGTGGATTTGCAGATTCTTTCATCAGGATATAGAAAACTTTGTCTCTGAAATGCAAAGGAAGCTTTAGACAGGTTCTCTCAGACCCAATGCCTTTCAACTTTTCCCCACCCCCTTCCCTCCCACTTGGACAAATACTCGGAGAGAGGGCTGTGAACTGTGTCCTTGGATGGTGTAGGGAGACCAGTGCAAGCAATCTTTTTTTATTTACCAGAAAGCTGGGAGCCACTACGTCCTTGGCCTGCTCCCTGACCTGCCTCTCTCGATTAGGTCAGAAGCAGAGCATGGTGATGAGGAAATTACTTTCAGCTTGACCTTAAAGTCCCCAGTGGCGTCAAACTAGCTCTTGTGTATGGACTCTTCTGTTGACATTTCTGACTGTACCTTATGCAAACTGAAGAAATAATTGCAGGTCCAGGAGAAGGAAGAGTAGGTGAAAGAAACCAGCCAACGTGAGTCCCGTGGTGTGACAAGGACTTTGTAAATCAAAGAGCTGCAGATGCTGGTCATTCCAGAAGCTAAATGTGCTCTCTTCACCCCTCTGCAATTACCGAACAATGACTGGAGGAGAGAAGTCTGCTCTTTCTGCAGACTTGTTTGCAGGGGCTTTTTTAGCAATGTTGTCTGTGTGGACTGTAATCGAATACACTCAGTTCACCCACAGATAAAATCCTCATGAAGAAAAAGGACAACTTCTTTTAGACTTACAAAGAACTTGTAAGCTTTAAACACATGGTAAATGCTTTGAAGGACTATCAGTTGAAATCAAATCTTTAACTTAACTGACCAGCAGGACAAATAACAGGATTAAAATAAACTGACAGTAATAATCAGTAATAATAATATTACTTCTTTAGAGCTATGCACTGGGCTAAGTGATTTACACACCATCTTATTTAAAGCTCAGGTAAGTCTATAAAGTAGAAACAATCCTCCCCATGATATAGGTGAGAAAATGGAGGCTTAGGGAAATTAAGCGAACCCCCAAGGTCAAACAGTTCATAAGTAACAAAAGCGGGATGAAGACAAGTTTATCGGACCCCACAGGCTTCTATGTTCCTATAATTCCATCCCATCCTTTATACCTAAAATTGTATATATCTGCAAATATGCCTATAAATGCAAAATGTAACTGATTTAGCAGAAATTTTATAAACATTAACATTTCTCTATAAATTAGTGACTTTATGTGTCTCTATTTTCCACTGTTTCTACTTCTATTATTTCTCTGCATATATTATACTTTTCTTTTTAAAGCTGTGAAAGACACCTCTGTTTATGATTGTGTGTCTGAGCTGTGGGTAATCTATAGTTTTTTTTTTCTCCTTTAGTGTCTCTTATTTACATTATCTATTTAATTCTTTCTCATTTTTCCCTTCTCTTTCTTACCTGACTGATCTCTTTTTTATGGCCATAATATGAAGCTTAACTATATTCTTATTTATTGTGTTCATTTAAAGGAGTTCTTGCTTTCTGTTCTTTGTTATAAATGGCTTTATAATGACACAAAATTGACTTTTAGATTTTGTGGTTTTGCCAGCCTCAGCTTTCTTTGATCATGTTATTTGCATCCCTCAAGTGTCTTCCTTTTGAGTGTAAAGTCTTTGCTGGGAAGAAAAAGGGCCTTCCTATCTTTGAATGTCCTACAAGGCCTAACAGAGAGCTTCTAATAAGTGTATAAACAAAATGAAATATTTAGAAGGCTCAAAATCCTGTGCCTGCCAGTGTATTCACAGCAACTGACAGGCAGGAAGAGATGTGGCTAAGAATTATACTTGAAAGAGAAGGAAAGTGAAGGCGCTCAGTGGTGTCCGACTCTGCGACCCCATGGACTGTAGCCCACCAGGCTCCTCTGTCCATGGGGTTTTCCAGGCAAGAATACCGGAGTGGGTTGCCATTTCCTGCTCCAGGAGATCTCCCTCACAGGGATTGAACCCGGGTCTCCCTCATGGTAGGCAGACGCTTTATCCTCTGAGCCAGCAGGAAGTCTCCTTACACTTGCGGTGGTCTCCAATCTTGGTGGCTAGTTGAGGGCAGGTCCCGCTGTATACAGTTGGGATGGGGAACATCAAGCTGAAACCAGTTTTACCTCAACAAGCTGGGATCCAGGAGCGTTTCCAACCTATCCTTCAGGAAGGGGTTAGGGGAAGCTGGGTGAAGGCGCCAATCGATTCTCAGTCTCCGCTCGGTCCTCCCCCACTCCGGTAGTAGGAGATGGGCGTGCAGCTGGCCAACCGAAAGGTGGGAGGCACCGTCACCGCGCTCGCGGCCGCGCGGACCTCCGCAGCGCCCCGCCACCGACCCCGCGCTCCCTCTGCGGTGGCCCCTGCGCCCCAGGCTGCCGCTCCAGCCCCGCTGGGCAGAGGTGTCTCCCACTCCGTCCCCTCCCGGGGCTCCCTCCAGGTTCTTCCCCCACCTCCCCATTTCAACTCCTCTGGGGTACCCGAGTCCTCGGCCACGCCCTCCCGCCGGGTCACGCGATCCTCGTGGCCCACCTTTCTCTCTTCCCACCGCTGAGCTGCAGTTTTCTCGTCTGTGAAGTAGGGACAGTGATTCCTGCCGCATTTACCCAGAACGTGACAAGGTGACCGGCAAAGAGGAGAGGCCATTATAACATTTATCACTAATCAGCGTTCCTGCCGTCGTCCTCTCACCGCCCTCGCGTTGGTGGAGGGGAGGCCTGCATCCCCGCAGTCAGGAAACTCCCAGGCTGGCAGCCCCGCCCCGCGCCGCCCCCCGGGCCGCGGGCCACACCCCCGCCGGCCTGCCCGCTCCCCGTCCGGCCGCGCTCGGCGCCGGCCCCGCAGCCTCCGCCAGACCCGCGGTGCACGGCGACATGGCCGGCGGCCACCGCCTCCTGCTAGAGAACGCGCGGCAAGTGGTGCTGGTGTGCGCCCGCGGCGAGCGCTTCCTGGCCGGGGCCGCGCTGCGCAGCCTGGAGGTGCTGGAGGGCGCCAGCCTGGTGGTGGGCACGTAAGTGGCCGCGCCGTCTGGGCTGCGGGCGCCGCGGGTCGATTGCTGCGGGGACCAGTCTGCCAAGTGCTCTTTCTATAACTTGTGCACTGTGGAGGGAAAGGCGATAACAGGCTTCCCGCACCCAGGGAGATGGTTGTACTGCCTTTCAGGCGCCTATTGCTAACGTGTTTGGCCACTTTGGGTTGTCATTCACTTGGAAAAGAAAAACACTCTCAAGCTGCACAACCCACTGAGCCGCATCAGGATCGCGCTTCTGCTGATAAAATACGATTGCAGCAATCAGAAGGGGTAGGGGTTCTCTCCAATGCTTCCTGAAGTGTGGACAGGGGCCACCTGCCTCAGATGGCCTGAGTGATTTTTTTAAAGACAGATTTCTGATCCCTCCCCACCCCCATATTCCCAGATCTCTCCCCCAACAAGTTTTATTGAGATATAATTGGCATACAGCACTGTATAGATTTAAGGTGAACAGCATGAATTGACTTACATACATCATGAAATGATTACCAGCAAGTATAGTGAGCATCCATCCTTTCATACAAAGTCAAAGAAATAGAAGAAAAAAAAAGTTTTCTTTGTGACGAGGACTCTTAGGACTTACTCTCTTAACAACTTTAATGTATAACATGTAGCAGTGTTCATTATATTTATCCTGCTATACATTACATCCCTAGTACTTTTGTATCTTATAACTGGAAGTTTGTACATTTTGATTACTTTCGTCCAGTCCCCGCCACCCGCTCCGCACCTATCTTCAGGTCTTTTGTTTTTTTGTTTTTTTTAATTTTTCCACTTATTTTTATTAGTTGGAGGCTAATTACTTTACATCATTGCAGTGGTTTTTGTCATACATTGACATGAATCAGCCATGGATTTACATGTATTCCCCATCCCGGTCCCCCCTCCCACTTCCCTCTCCACCCGATCCCTCTGGGTCTTCCCAGTGCACCAGGCCCGAGCACTTGTCTCATGCATCCAGCCTGGGCTGGTGATCTGTTTCGCCCTAGATAATATACATGTTTCAAAAATAGGGAACGCTTCACGAATTTGCGTGTCATCCTTGCGTAGGGGCCATGCTAATCTTCTCTGTATCGTTCCAATTTTAGTATATGTGCTGCCGAAGCGAGCACTCTTCAGGTCTTTTGAATCAGGATCTCTGTGGGTGAAGTTTTGAGATCGGAATTTTTACAAAGCGTATCTCCCACCTACTTCTACTGTACCCCAAAACTTGAAACCCACAGAAGCCCTTTATGTGGTGATGGTTTGGGGTGATAGAAAATTAAAATTCAGCCACCAGAAAGAGAGGACATTTTTCAGTTATTTTCATTTAACCTTCTGAGAGTAAAAGAACAGCCGAAGCTTGGAAGTCAGACTTGGAGTGGGCCTGGGGGATGGATTCCCATCTGAATCGAAGAGCCAGTGACGCTGAAATTACACGAGTTTCATCCCTTATCTGAGGCTGCTTAGGGTTGTGTAAGAGCCCAGTTTTTAGGGACGCTCTGTGTGTTTAATTAACAGAGGGATAAAAATATTCCCAGTGTTATGGTCAAAAATTTGTTAAAATCAGTTAACAAGAATTGCATGGGAATTAGAACCGGAGGAGCCGCCGGGGCTCCTCCGGCTGCCCGGGCGGTGGCTGCCTGACGCCTGAGCGCGAAAGGCGCGGAGGTACCCTGTTTTTCTGTCAAGAGTTGACCATGTCAGAATGAAAGGAAGCTATCTTTGCAGACTGCTGTCTGTGGAACCTTTGAAGACGGTAGAATAGTATTCAATTCTGCAAGGAGCCTGTGGATCAAGCTATGGTGGAAGATGTTTCGGAAAGGCAAAAAGCGCCACAGCAGTAGCAGTTCCCAGAGCAGTGAAATCAGTACCAAGAGCAAGTCTGTAGACTCCAGCCTTGGCGGGCTCTCACGGTCCAGCACCGTGGCAAGCCTTGACACCGATTCCACCAAGAGTTCAGGACAAAGCAACAACAATTCAGACACCTGTGCAGAATTTCGAATAAAGTATGTTGGTGCCATTGAGAAACTGAAACTCTCAGAGGGGAAAAGTCTCGAAGGGCCACTGGATCTGATAAATTATATAGATGTTGCTCAGCAAGATGGAAAGTTGCCCTTCGTTCCGCTGGAGGAAGAATTTATTATGGGAGTTTCCAAGTATGGTATAAAAGTGTCCACATCAGATCAGTATGATGTTCTGCATCGGCACGCTCTGTATTTAATCATCCGGATGGTGTGTTACGACGACGGTCTTGGGGCAGGAAAGAGCTTACTGGCTCTGAAGACCACAGATGCGAGCAACCAAGAATACAGCCTGTGGGTTTACCAGTGAAACAGCCTGACGGCAGGTCAGCCAGCGGACCAGCCTACTGCAGGCAGTGAGCTGTTAGCCCAGAAGCAGCACTCGTGCCTCATGAGTGAATGCAAAGCAGGAACAAGCACAAGCAATCTGCAAAGTTTTATCCACTGCTTTCGACTCTGTATTGACTTCTGAGAAACCTTGAATTCTGCAAGGGGGAAGTAAGCTTCATGTTCAAATTCAGCTGTTTTCTCAATAGTTTCTGTTTCCAGTCTGCAGTGTTGAACTGTTACGGAAATATGAGCAATCTTTTGCTCTGATTTTCTGAAGAGAATGCAGTGTATAAAATACCAGTGTATAAAATAAAAAAAAAAAAAAGAATTGCATGGATGTAGGAACCTAGGGTCAGCTGATAGCCATATTCCACGGAGTTCCAAGGATCTAGACCCCTACCTTCTTGCTCAGCTGAGCACTCCAGTCTTCCTCACAGTCACTCCATCGTCCAAGATGGCTGTGCCTTCTCCCATTATAGTGTCTCCATTCCAGCTGGTAGGAAGGAAGAGAAGAAACTCCTACTGGCTAGAACTGAGTCACGTGGCCTCACCTGGCTGATGGGAGACTTGGAAATGAAGTCTTTATTCTGGGTGGTCAAGACTTCAGCTAAAATTTAGGAATCTAGCACTGTGGGAAAAGGAAACATTGATCTTGGGGAACAACTAGCAATCTCTGCCACGCATGACTTTGCCTTGCGTGTGGCTAGAGTCAATTTCCAAAGACAAAAGCTCAAGAAGGAAATACAGTAAATATTGACTGACTGAAAGTAAGTTCATTATACTTACTGGTAATCATTTTATAGTTTAAATCATTGGTCAAATTTTTCACAATATTTCCTCCAAATTTAGTGATAATTTCTTGATTTTTCTTCAGAGATGGGTTCATAAAAGCCATCGGTCCTGCTGATGCTATCCAAAAACAGTTTTCAGAAGAAACATTCGAAGAAAGAATTGACTGTTCTGGGAAATGCATCTTGCCAGGTATTAACCTTTTTTGCAATAAAGGCCTGAAAGCAGTTTTAATAAAGAGGAATAGTAGTAGCTTGTTTTAAATAAGGTCTCACAATATATAAAAATATAATATCTGCCATTTATTGAATTTATACTAGTAAATGTCTTAACTGCTTTACAGACACATTTTCTTGTTGAATGACACTGAACTGCCTTGTAAGTATCATTGTCTACACATCATAGATTAGAACACTGATGTTTATGTGTGAAATATCTTACCCAAGATCTCTAAACAGGTAAAGGACCAGCTGGAATCAAATGCACTCATTCACTCCACTTCTTTCCACTCACATGCTGAAAAGAAACCAGCTGTGTTGGGTTTGGGTTTGGGTTCAAAAACTGTCCAAAGAATTTTATTAATCCATTGCACAGGGGAGGCAAATAGGGCAAGCTGCTCTCTCTAATTCTAGAATAGACTCTAAATTTCTATAGAGTATGAGACAAAGGGCCCATCTCCAGGCAGAAAAAGCATAAGCCAAAGAACCCTAGAAATTTCACCAAAGTTCATTTTTATCGTTAGTGATTGACAACAGAATCAGTGTATTAGCCGCCGTATCCTAAATTATCCATGTTTTATAGCTTCCCTGGTGGCTCAGGTGGTAAAGAATCTGCCTGCAATGCAGGAAACCCAGGTTGGATCCCTGGGTTGGGAAGATCCCCTGGAAAAGGAAATGGCAAACCACTCCAGTATTCTTGCCTAGAAAATCCCATGGACAGAGGAGCCTGGTGGGCTACAGTCCATGGGGTCACAAAGAGTCAGACACGACTGAGCACTAACACTTCACTCCAACACGGCTTTTATGTAATCATCTGAAACAAAGTTCACACCAATTTTGAGTTTTGTGCAGACATAGAGGCTAGGGTTTATACTTTTAAAATGTGTACTCTGAATACATGACAGAACTTCTACTATCTGGCTCTTGGGGGTCAGGAGAGAAAGTCAGGGTGAAATCTGAGTAGAAAGAGCAGAATGTGGTAGAGAAAGCAATCCAAATAGGGACTTTTGGTTTTACTCTAATCAAAGCTACTAATGAATCATTTAATCCATAAGTACTTTAAATGCTCTGGAAAGACACAGTTTACCAAATTGTACCTGCATAAACAAAAGTTCCAAGTGGTTGCTTTAAGGTTTCTCTTTAATAAAAGCATATTTCTTTCTTGAAGAAAGATTTATCTTTATAATTTCATATTTTGCCTTCTCAAAGTGGAGGGTAGGGATTGTATTGTTCTTTTTCACACCTAGATTATTCTTTGGTGATAGAGTCCTTGGTTTTGCTCAACTAGTAGGTTTGACATTCTGTTCTAAATTCTTGTTTGGAGAGCATGGATTTATTGGGCAAAAGGAGCTGTGTTTCTTTAGAGGATGTTTTCATCATGTTGATTCAGTCTTCCATTAGAGCCTTCTAGACCAACCGTGGAGAGTCTTCTTGGAACCATGCAGACACCTTCTTCCCCCTCCACCATCCTCCAAGATGGCTATCACCGTCATGCTTTCCCGAGAACTGTATTAGAGTCTGTCTACTGTCCAAGTGCTTCTGATTTCATAACTGTAAACATGATGTGATTTATTGATTACAGGTTTAGTGGATGCACACACACATCCAGTATGGGCTGGAGAAAGAGTTCACGAGTTTGCAATGAAGGTAATTGCAGTAAACAATGGCAAAATCAAAATAAAACACAAATATATACAAAACTTTTTCTAGAGTTTGTAGGCTGTTAGACTTTACAACAAATGTCTATGTGTCTATTTAATGGATATTTTTTTACTAGCTTTGACTATGGAGATAAGTTACTACAAAGTTAACTAATTTATGACTTGGTGCCAAATCTTTATGTTATGCACAGGGCTGTCAATAGTTTGAAGTATAATAGTTTTCAAGATATTTTAGCTGCCAAATGCTCCTTTTAAAATAGAGTTTTACCTGGTTTGCTCACTAATTTCCCCTTTTCCCCCATTCCATTCCCTGGTAGCCTTTAAAGGGACTCCAGGAAGCAGTTTGAAAATCACCACTCACTGGGGTCAAAGTAGGAAAAATATATTATTAATCACAAAATAAAATTAGCTTTATATTGTTCCTACAGAAAAATGAGACATTAAGAAACATAAATTATAGTCTTTTATCAGGCATTAATTAGCCACAGTCAACCCTCACATCCCTGGTTTGAGCCATTTTCACACTGTTTATTTGCTTGTTTTTAGTAGACCTTTTTAGAGCAGTTTTAGGTTCACAGCACAATTGTGTGAAAGGTTCCGAGATTTCCCATATACCACTGGCCCCCAACTTCTGTCCAAAGCACAGCCTTTTAAATTTTCAACATCCCTGACCCGAGATGTACATTTGTCAGCATGGATGAACCTACAGTGACACATTATTATCACCGATAGTCCACAGTTCTTGTTACTGCTGACCCTTGCTGTTGTGCATTCTCTGGGTTTGAGGAAATGTCTGCTGACTGCATCCACTACTGTAATATCATACAAGGTAATTTTACTGCCCCCCGCCCCCAGATCCTCTGTGCTCTGCCTGTTCTCTCCTCCTAAAAACTAGTAACTGCTGACCTTTCTACTGTTGCCATAGTTTTGCTTTTTCCAGAATATCATATGGTTGGAATCCTACAGTAAGTAGCCTTTTCAGATTGAGTTTCCTTCATATTTTTTCTTCACACTGTTTTTTAAAAAACAGTGTATCCTAACAGCCAAATTGGATACTTTAAGGAAAAAAAATGTATTCAAGTATTGTCTACCTTTCTCAACAATCTAGAGTTGTTTTTTAAGACTTTATTAAACCACTGAATTTCAGAGCCAAAAATGTAGAGGTTTGCAGTCCAGTTCTCTAATTATCTGATGCAGAAAGGACCAAGCCCACCAGCTTCTTGTGAACATGAAATCCTTGAAGATCATTTATTATCAAACCATTGAAACTTTCCTTAAAAGCTCTAGTTTGCAATACCTTGAATGTGACAGAATTAAGAACAAAGGAAAGGGTATGGCAATGGGAGCCCCCAGAATGGCATATTTTGCACCACCTTCCTTGCAGCTCAGAGTAACCGGAGCTCGGCAGGATCTCAGAAGAGCCTTTTTATTTTCTTGAGTGACAGAGGTCAGGCCTGAAACTCCAGGCTGCCAAATAACGAGGGGTGGAAATGCTCTGGGTCTCTGGGTGGAGACTCAGGTAACGACAGTGGGATCCCCTAATCGCCTAAGCTTCACTTTCTCATAGGTGCTGAGATCAGCTGGTACACACTGGGACTAACTGGATTGTTAAAATACTTTTGTACCTGTTGGTAAATTGTCGCTACCCTGAGACCCCAGGTCCCTACCACGTCTCCCATCTCTGCCACCCTGGTCCCTTCCTGGCATACCTCTGACTCCCACAACTCCCCACCACCCTGGCAGAGTAGGGACTTTTAGAATTGTGTGTCTCAGCATCCTTTCTGATTGGCTATGGTGCCTACGTCATATCAGTTATCAATCATGTTGAATATCATCCCTGGACAGAGGTTCTGCAGACCTGCCTGCAGCCTCCATTCGTTTTCCAGACTTAAGGGTGACCCTGTGTGTTCAGTTGGCAGGAGCCACATACATGGACATCCATCAGGCTGGAGGAGGGATCAACTTCACGGTGGAGCGCACCCGCCAGGCCTCTGAGGAGGAGCTGTATAGCTCCTTCCAGCAGCGGCTTGGGTGCATGATGCGGGCGGGCACCACACTGGTGGAGTGCAAGAGTGGATACGGCCTCAGCCTGGAGACGGAGCTCAAGATGCTGCGGGTGATTGAGCGTGCCCGGCGGAACTTGGACATCGGCATCTCGGTCACTTACTGCGGAGCCCACTCTGTGCCAAAGTAACCTCAACAGAAGGGACCGGGGTTTAACTCGGGCAGTTGCAAACCAGAAGGGGTCATGTGGGGGCGTCTGAGTGGGGGCTGTGTTCTCCAGGGGCCTAAGAGGCACCAGCATTTGAGCTCTTGCAGAGGAACCAGTAGAGCCTTTGGAAAGGTGCTCTGATTCTAAAGGTCAGTCATCTCACAGGCATGGTTTTAGAAAGGTGGTCTCCATCAGACCCACCCATTTGTAAGTCACTTCATGGTGAAGGAAAAAGAGATGTTCACAACTTTTTTTTTTTGGTCAGCAAAAAGAAATTGCCCTGATCAGTTCAGTTCAGTTCAGTCGCTCAGTCATGTCCAACTCTTTGCGACCCCGTGAATCGCAGCATTTTTAAAATGACAGATGCTCATTTAAGTAGTTTCCCATGACAGTGATCACAGAGGCACCTTTTTTATAACACCCTGTAGAGGTGGAGCAAGTCTTGACATCAAGATGACTCAGCTGGTTTTTTTTTCTGTTCATCTGTTTGCTTGTTTAGCAGCAAACACTTTTGTTTTATTGTTGTAAATGTGTTTTTCAGTTTTTCTCTTGATCTAAAAAGCTTCTTCCGTGTGGATTTGACATAGAGAATTCTCTACCCTTCTGTCCCTGCATCTTGTCTGTCCTGGAACCACTACATCAGAAGGCCCACAGTTCCAGAACCAAAAGATCCAAAAGAGATCCAGACTACAAAATTCACAGGGTGTTGCCTATGAAGTTTTAAGTTGTAGTAACTAGGAGAATAAATGCCGCAGGCTTACAAAAATGGTTTAATTATTTAAATAGCCCATTTAATTAAATAATATTTAAAATTAATAATTAAATCATTTCAGGTTTAATTCAATTTTTTACACTTACTTAGTTTTGTGAACTTTGAAAAATAGACATTTTAATGTTAATATTTGTTTACCATCCTCAATCAGAGGAACCAAAAAAATTAACATTGAAAATTATTGTGAAAAATTTACAAAATGGGCCGTGAGTGTTTAATCTCCGGCCTTGCGGCTTAGTTTTTCTCTCGGTTTGGGCTCGAGGCCTCTGTCGCAACCACGCTCCGCCAGATCATCGGTCAGGCCAAGAGGCACCCTAGCTTGATCCCCCTGTTCATATTTATTGGAGCAGGAGGGACTGGAGCAGCACTGTATGTCACACGCCTGGCATTGTTCAATCCCGATGTCAGTTGGGACAGAAAGAATAACCCAGAACCCTGGAACAAACTAGGTCCTAATGATCAGTACAAGTTCTACTCTGTGAACGTAGATTACAGCAAACTGAAGAAAGAAGGTCCAGACTTCTAAATGCAATATTTCACTTAAAGCTGCTTAGAATGAAGGTCTTCCAGAAGCCATCCGCACAATTTTCCACTTAACCAGGAAATATTTCCCCTCTAAATGCACGGAATCATGTTGGTGTATTGTATTGGGGTTTACACTGATGAATAAATAGTCTGAAACTTAAAAAAAAAAAAAAAATTTACAAAATGAATTAAGTAGAAAGAAACATAAACAATGAATATTTACAGTGATGTTTGTTGTATGTATTTACCATTTATACTTCTGAAATTATTAAGACTTGAAACTGCACTAAGACTTCTGGGATATCCTATCTATGATAGTCTGTTTTTCGTTATTTTTTTCAGTTAGAAAGACAATGTGACATGGTAGAAAAGTCTGAAACTTTGGAGAGACCTCAAACCTGGGTTTGAATCTAGCTTAGCTCCATCCAACTGGTTGATTTTAAGTTTTGATCATTAATTTTTCTGAACATGAATTGTTCATCCGTAAATCAGCAAAATAACACCTTTCCTATACGGTTGTCTCAAAAATAGAAACAACATATATAAGTACCAGTCTCCTCATAGTCCACATCTGTCTACCCACCCAGGCGGTTTTTGCTGAGAGTTTTCTGTGTGCCAAATGCACAGCTGATGTTTTACAGAAAAATTCTCCATCTGCCAGTGAACCTGTGAGCTCTCCTCTTCATCCCCAAAGTTAAAGGCCCAGAGGATGCCCCATGACGTCTGCATCACGTGTCCAAAGTTATACAGCCTGCAAGTGGTGGAGCTCTGGGGTTCTCTGACCCAAAAGCCCAGCCCATTCTCAGATATAACTACCCAGGAATCTTAGAATTTCTGGGTCTCCTTCTTCCCCTACGTCAGATGAGACAGAACTCCTTAGGCAGATGCCTCTAGAAACTGTGGAGGAAGAAGAAGTCAGGATGATAGCTGGACCCAGGTATGGGGCCCACAGTTGGGTGTCAGGGAAGCATCCAGCATGTCCTCTAAGTGTGCTTGGCGAGAAGATTCAGGTTTTCAGCCAGGTGGCCTTGCTGACTTTCCCAAAGGCAGCCCCAGTATGCCAGAATGGGTGAGCCATCTGTCTCTCTGCCTCTAGGTCCAGTGTATACAGAAGTCTTGTCAACACCTCTGTTAGGCCGGCTTGTCCCAGTTGTTAAGAGTCCTGCGTTATATATAGCTTTGATTCTTTCTTTACCTTTTTGAGGCTCAGGGTGACATATCTATAGTTTCTTAAGTTCTCCAAGTACCAAAGGCCGCTTTCTCCAACAATTTTTTTTTAAACTTGCCTGTGGTGATCTCCTTTTCTTCTCTCAGAGGAAAAACTGCTTCTGAGGCCGCTGATGACATCATCAAAAACCACCTCCCAAGGCTGAAGGAACTTGGCAGAAATGGGGAAATACACGTTGACAATATAGATGTGTTCTGTGAAAAGGGTGTCTTTGATCTTGATTCCACCAGAAGAATTCTTCAAAGTGGGAAAGATACAGGGTTACAGATCAACTTCCACGGGGATGAGCTCCACCCCATGAAGGCTGCTGAGGTATGGTCGTTCTCTTGCTCTTCCTTTGTCATCACTCGTGCTATGGAAAACTCAATGAGTTTGTTCAAAGGAAGGAATGACCTTCTGAAAAGATAGAGGATGGGGAAATTTGTTAGAAATATGTGCAGGTTGGTCTGGTTGAGCTTTGGAATCCTTTTTTGCTAATCATTTGCTTTTATTATCTCCTCCTGGTGATACTAGTAGGAAGAAAAAAAACCTTTGTGATCTCATTTACTAAATTCACAACCTATTTTGATTGTCATTCGAAGTCACCCTAGCACTGTCTCTTAATTTCACATGAAGCTTCTAGAGTTTTTCTGTGGCAGCATTCAGACGAATTTTAGTGGAGCATGCCTTAATAGTGACGGGATGATTTTCAGATTGTTAAGTCTTTCCCAGATTCATTTATTCATACTTAGAAGAAATTCAAAATCCCCTCCAAGTTTCATCTGAGTGACTACCTCTCTGGGATCCTTCCCAAACCTCTCTAAGAGTGGGTTATAGCCCCTCCCTGTCCTTGTTCCGCTGTTTAAAATCTCTGTGATTCCTACTGGACATGAACACATTGAGGACCACACCCATGTCTTCTTGTGTGTGTGTGTCTGTGTGTGTGCACACGCTTAGTCACTCAGTCATGTCTGACCTTACCCAGCCTTATTTCCTGGAGGTTAACACAGTGCCTAGAGTGCAAATGGTCTTTAGAAAGTAAATAGTTGTTAAATGAATGAGAACTGGGTGGTCAACAAGATACTTTGGGCTGTAGAGAGTGACTGTGAATTAAATGTGAATTAAATCAATAGAAGTTGATAATTCCCTGGATGAGCAAATCAAGTTTGCAAAAGTTGAGGATGATTCTAAGATCAAAAGGGAACCTGCCTTGGGGAGCAGCGCCTGCGCTGTCCCAAGCCTCCAGAGCCCTGATCCCAGTGCCCGTCCACCTGAGCCAGATGCTGATGGGGGCTCTTCTTCCCTGCCCTGGGGTGGGCATCGCAGCCTCCCTGGCTCACAGTGGAATCAGCTATCAGTCTTCTTTCCTTGGAATGCTCATCATGTCACCTTTCAGCCTGGGGCACTTCGTGCGTGTGTGCACGTGCGCGCATGTGTCAAAATTTGTCAAGTTCAGAAATAATCCACTTTAATACATTCTTATCCAAGCATTACCTCTTCTTAGTTGTCTTCTAACAACCTAGCATAAACTTTTCATCTGGAGGAGAGCCAAGTTCAAGACGATAATCTAGGGACTTCCCTGGTGGTCCAATGTTTAAGACTCTGCGTGTCCACTGCCAGGGGCCCACATTAGGCCCAGGAATTAAGACCCCGAAAGCTGTGAGGTGTGGCAGAAAAAAGAAGATATTTTCAAGTTATGCAAATGATTCCACACTCCTAAAGTCTGTTTTCTCACCTCATCTGTTTTCTCTGAGGCAATGGCATTCCAGGTACCTTTCTTGTAAATTTATGATGTATAACAATCAGATTTTACTACCAGCTTTACTCAATGTTTTATTCTGATTCATAAGATTCATAAAATTTTCTCTTCTAGCCAATGTTTAAAGATCTTGGTAAGCATTTGTGTGTAGGAATAGTTTTTGAAGTAGCATGCTAGCTAAATTTTCAAATGAATGTCCACCATAAACCCTTTACCCACTTGGAGGCTTGTGCTCACAAGAGGTAGTTGGCAATAATAGAGTATTGTTTGTTTTTGTAGGAAAAACCATATACTGGCACTTTATTGATTTGTTGTTGCCGTGCGTGACACCTCTCTTTCTCTGTCCATCCTGCTTAGCTTGGGGCGGAACTGGGAGCGCAGGCCGTCAGTCACCTGGAAGAAGTGAGTGATGAAGGCATCGCTGCCATGGCAACAGCCAGGTGCTCCGCTGTCCTCCTGCCCACCACGGCCTACATGCTGAGGTGAGGCTGTTCTCCACCTCCACGCAGGAGCTGCAAGTACGAGCTGTAAAGGCACAGACTTCCAAGATGCCCAAATATTACTTCATCACCCTTGCTTTTATAATTAGAAAAGAGGCTTTATACTTTAAAAAACACACATAAGATGTTAGGAATATTCTGAATCCGAATGAGTTGCTTTCTAAGATGATGCAAGTGGGGACCATTATCCTCATAAATCCTACAAGTAAGAGAAGAGAGGAGATGCCTAAGTATATTTTGTGGCATCTCCCCAGGGATCTGGCTGTGTGCCTTCCATGGATTGAGTCTTTGTCTAGTTGTGGTAAGCAGGGACTGCTCTTCGTTGCAGTGCACAGGCCTCTCGTTGCAGTGAGAGGCCTCTTGTTGCATAGCACAGGCTCTAGGTGTCCGGGCTTCAGTGTTTGGAGCGCATGGGCTCAGTAATTGCAGCTTGAGGGCTCTAGAGCACGGCCCGGAAGTCGTGACGCACAGGCTTGGCTGCCCCACAGCATGTGAAGTCTTGCCAGACCAGGGCCGGGACTGCTCTCCCCTGAATTGGCAGCAGGCTCCCGTCCACTGAGCCACCTGAGAAGTCCTCCGTTCATCCTTTTAAAACATCCAGTTACCCCGCACAAAACAAAGTTCAGTTCACACTGGACTCTTTTGCAATAGTTGTCACCGAATTAAATCTGTCCTCACCATGTTAACTAGTGGCCAGCTTTGTTCATCTTTGATTCAACTTTTGAGCCATGTCCTAGAGACTAAATTGTATTTGGTCAAGGAGATCAGGGAAATACCCAGTCCAGGAATAAGCACAAACATTGTCCATCTTAGATTCTTGGACCTTCAGATGAATTTTAAAGAACCTACAAAAATGTTTGAGACCCCCACCTTCCAAAAAGGAGAGGGAGAGATATGAATTTTAAAATTGCAAAATGAACGTTAACTTTAAAAGCATTATTTAAACCTTGTTGTTTAGATTTTGGAGTTCTAAAAAATGTATTATGTTTGAAAACAATTTTCAGTTATACTTTTCTTTCTTCACAAGAATGTCTCAATATAGTGATTGTCATGATAATCCCCAATTAAAGAAGTTAGTCATACCCAAGTGATTTCAAAAGCAGGATGGTAAAAATCAGGAGTCCTGGGGTTATGCTAGATCCCACCACAAATCACTTAATCTTGAGTTTCTGTTTCTTCTTCCAGAACGTGGAGGATCTGGATAGCTTGTTGTTGTTGTTGTTGAGTTGCTAAGTGGTGTCCGACTCTGCGACCCTGTGACCGCGGCCTACCAGGATATCTTAAATCTGCTCCAATTCTGAACATCTTTAGAATTCTTCAAAATTTCCACTTCTTGAGACTGATATCTTTCTTCCCCCTTCTCCTTAGACTGAAGCAACCTCGAGCCAGGAAAATGTTAGATGAAGGAGTCATAGTGGCCCTGGGCAGCGATTTTAACCCTAATGCGTATTGTTTTTCAATGGTAATTATTCTTAACATGCCTTTCTGAACAGACTGAAACTTCTACCAAGCATATAAATAATTTAAAGAATGTGTAGACAGCAGTATAACTGCGTATTTCTGTGCCTCTTGATTGCCTCCAGGCTTAGGGAGAGGAGAAAAAGGGTCTATTATGCTTTGATGCAGCCTTGGGCATTGTGGTTTTACAATAACCTATTCTCCCCCTCAGAACTGAATAATCTCAAAGAAGTTTTAGTAAGCAAATATGGAGGTGAGCTTCCTATGACAGTAAGTGACCTTGAAAAGTAGTGTTCATGCTCACATTCAACTCTTTCTGCAACCCCATGGACTGTAGCCCACCAGGCTCCTCTGTCCATGGAATTTTCCAGACAAGAATACTGGAGTGCATTGCCGTTTCCTCCTCCGGGGGTCTTCCTGACCCAGGGATCAAACCCGCATCTCCTGCATTGGCAGGCGGATTCTGTACCACTGAGCCCGTAGGGGAGACCCTTGAAAGTAATAAATAAATATTAAATACATATGGGGTGGGTGGGTGAGCAATCCCTGTAATAAAGAAATCTTTCCCAAAGCATAAGAATCTTTACATTTAAATTTAAAATTTTTCTCATATTAATTCACCCTGCTTTACTTAAGCATTTACCTATCATTATTTGTTGTGCTTTGTTGAGAAATGTTCTAGGTGGCAGTTGTCTAGTTGCTTTTCTTCAATGCTTTTCTCTTCCTGTCTTAGCCAGTGGTCATGCATCTGGCGTGTGTGAACATGAGAATGTCCATGCCCGAGGCCTTGGCCGCTGCCACCATCAATGCCGCTTATGCCCTGGGAAAATCCCACACACAGGGATCTTTGGAAGTTGGCAAGCAGGGAGATCTCATTATCATCAATTCACCCAGGTGAGTGTTCTCCCAAGTAAGCCATTTTATTGTATGAAAATAAAAGTGTTAGTAGCTTAGTCGTGTCCAACTCTCTGGACCCCATGGACTGTAGCCCACCAGACTCCTCTGTCCATGGGATTCTCCAGGCAAGAATACTGGAGTGGGTCACCATTCCCTTCTCCAGGGGATCTTCCTGATCAGGGATTAAACCCAGGTCTCCTGCACTGCAGGCAGATTCTTTCCTATCTGAGCCACTGGGGAAGCCCCATTTTATTGTATGTCCACTGTCACATGGAGACTTGGTTAAAACCCTCTTCCACTGATGATTCGTGTCAGGCTCTGTGTAAGCTCGGAGAAGCTACCCAGTCTTCTCATTGTCCCCCTTTTCTAAGCAAAAAGTCTCCCTCCAGGTCCTAAACTGCAGGGTAGACCAACTTTTCTGGTCTCTCATCTGTCTTCCATCTTTCGTAGATCTCTGGGTTTCTTCTCTGTTTACCTGGACCTTGGACCTGTGCTGCTCTTTGACATGGGTTTTGTTTTTCTTCTTGTGTGCTGACCTTTGCTGCTTGCAGGTCACAGCTCTAGCTTGTCGCCCTGGTTCTAATTCATCTCTCTGACTTCTCCTTCCTACTGCATCCCAAAAGCTTTGCTGAAGTTATTCTGCCTCTGGTTTTCTACTGTTCACCCATAGTCTGCTGCCTCGTGGACCTCCAGTGTAACAATTTGAGTCTTATTGTTCTAAATCTTAAAGTTGTGAATTCTATGGTGTCTGGACCCTAGCAAGTCTCTCCCAGCTCTTGGACCTCATGTTCAACAGAAGAGGGTAGCTCCATAATTCTACTCTTGAGGATCATAAGCTATTGTCTCATAGAAAGTAATGCTAATGTTACAATTTATGCATCATTTAACTGAATCAAATAGTTTAAGATCAGATATTTAATATCATTAAACACTGCTTGATTTATCATAGACTGATTATCATGGTACTCTGTCATTTTTTTTAAAGCCCAAATATTAACTACTAAGTATAAATAAATTTTTAGAGAATGTATTTTAAAATTAGCATTTATTGACAAGGTAATCATTTTGACTTGTATGCATTAATGTTTGATTTCTTTCTAGATGGGAGCATTTGATTTACCAGTTTGGAGGTCATCATGAATTAATTGATTATGTTATCGCTAAAGGAAAAGTCATCTATAAAAAATGATAGATCTATAAGGAAAGAGGAGACTCTTCAACTGTATAAGTCAATACAGTTATATTAAGAGTTAAAATACCTTAGTAGTTTAGCAGAATGATGTCATTTAAATACATTTCAATATTTTGTTAATCCACTTGAAAAACCCAAGGGATTCAGTTACTTTAACATGTGCACATTGACATATAATCAGGTAAACAACTTGTGATGATAGTCTCAAACATTAACTTCACAAAGTTTTGGTATAAATATTCTGCAGATTAATTCATTAGTGTCCTCTGAGGGGAGGGTGTTCTTCTATTTCTAATTTCTTCTCAACCCTTACAATAGAGCTTCGTGGCAGAGTTCAAGACTTGTCATTTTGTACACAAGTACAGGGACCTTCTTGTAATGGATGCATTTTGATCAAATCCAATAATACACTTTTTTTAAATTGTTTTTAATTTTTTGATTCTTCACATTAATTACAAATGTCTGAAAAATTTTATAGCTCTCAATAAATACTTTCTATCACTATTATTGTTGTTGTTTACAGCAACATGAGAAATCAGTCAGTGGTGTTGTCTATTAGAGCTTTTAAGGAAATGAACAAATTATAGAAGAAAGTGGATTACATACAGGAAAAGTGGATGATTATATAAATGGGTGTCTCTAAAGCCTTATGAGTTTACTTGAAATCTTTTAAAATGCTTTCATCATCTTAATAATCACAGCTTCATGATCAAACTATGTTCTGTTTAGGAAGAGATGACTAGACAAGTAAACAGTACCCAAATTATCACCCATTTCAAGTGGATAGAGCCTGAATCAATGAGTCTTTACTGTATTCAGTAGAGATCAAATCAAGCGATCCCTTGTCAGGAGGTTAAAGGTAACGGTGCACGTCGCAATCACTGGCTAGTAGCGCAGTCTCTGGAGTTCAGCTCCTCATATGCTTGGTGAAGAAGCTGAAAGGGGGTGTGGGAAGCCTGGTTGCTGTGGGTGATGCCTCCCCTGTGACTGGTCTCCTAGTTAATGGTAGGAGTCTGGGGTGCAGGAGATAGCTTGAAAGGCCAAAACTAAAAATTAGGTCTGTCCCAGAGTCCAAGCCACGCAGAAATGTATCCTTACACTTAGGGAATAAGCAGGTGAAGCACTTATTTTCCCTCTGTGTGTGCGCAGTTGCTCAGTCGTGTCCAGCTCTTTGCGATCCATGGACTGTAGCCCGCCAGACTCCTCTGTCCACGGGGATGCTCCAGGCAGGAATACTGGAGCGGGTTGCCATGCCCTTCTCCAGGGGATCTTCCCAACCGAGGGATCAAGCCCAGGTCTCCCATTCTGCAGGCGATTCTTTACCATCTGAGCCACTAGGGAAGCCATTTTCCTTCTAGGAAACATTAACTCTAAATAAGTAGTGTTCTTGCCTTTTTTGAAAGAAACTAGAAGAGGATGCCCACCTGAAACTGCCTTATTCCTCCCAGACCAGTGTCCTACAAGCCCCTTGCAACTCGCGGAAACTGGCTAGAAACGCAGAACCTCAGCCCCACTCCACATCTATTGAATCAGAATCTGGTCTTAACAAACCCACAGATGATTTGTCTGCCCCCTTGAGTCTGAGAAGGTCTGCGGTCTAAACCCTAGCCACACACGGTGCCTCAAAACCTCCATTTGCTTTTGCTGCCCTGGACCTTGCAGCACCCTTTCCTGCCCTAGAGTGCTTTCCCTCTCTTAATGTGGGAAATTGGAGCTAGTCCCTCCCCATCCCCACCATGCACCCATTCCTCTGTGAGTGCCTCTAGAGCATTGCACCCAACTGTCATTCTCTTTAGACTGTGTGTTAGGAGAGAGAAGGGCCTGGTCGTGTCCCCAGGATCTAGTATACTGATTGGTTCATAGGAGGTGATCAATGAATGAAGTAATGAATGGCTGCACAAGCATACAGATGGTCATAGTGAAAAGTGCTTATTAAAATACACTCAGCAGGCCAACCCAGGAATGAAGTGTTAAAGAAATTACTTGTTCCACATATTGGAAAGAGCATATGAATTCCTTAATGTAATGTCATTCTGTAATGTAATGTCATCACTGCAGATGGTGATTGCAGCCATGAAATTAAAAGACATTTGCTCCTTGGAAGGAAAGTTATGACCAACCTAGACAGCATATTAAAAAGCAGAAACATTACTTTGCCAACAAAGGTCCATCTAGTCAAGGCTATCGTTTTTCCAGTGGTCATGTATGGATGTGAGAGTTGGACTATAAAGAAAGCTGAGCACAGAAGAATTGATGCTTTTGAACTGTGGTGTTGGAGAAGACTCTTGAGAGTCCCTTGGACTGCAAGGAGATCCAACCAGTCCATCTTAAAGGAGATCAGTCCTGGGTGTTCATTGCAAGGACTGATGCTGAAGCTGAAGCTCCAATATTTTGGCCACCTGATGCAAAGATCTGACTCATTTGAAAAGACCCTGATGCTGGGAAAGATTGAGGGCGGGAGGAGAAGGGGACGACAAAGGATGAGATGGTTGGATGGCATCACTGACTCGATGGACATGGGTTTGGGTAAACTCCAGGAGTTGGTGATGGACAGGGAGGCCTGGCATGCTGCGATTCATGGGGTCGCAAAGAGTCGGACATGACTGAGCAACTGAACTGAACTGACTGAGTGTAATGTCAAAAGATGATGCTTATGGGGAAGTAAAGGTAAAACCCAACAAGAAACAATGTCATGATTAGGTGGAAAGGGGCGTTGCCATCCTCAACTTGGGAGCTTGGAAGGATTTTGATGTGAAGGAAAGGCTCCAAGATGGGGGATTATGGGGGTGTTCAGGAGAGGGGGAGGGTCTGAGCCCTCCTAGAATGAAGGGCTGGAGGAGGCAGTGGCACCCCACTCCAGTGCTCTTGCCTGGAAAATCCCATGGATGGAGGAGCCTGGTAGGCTGCAGCCCATGGGGTTGCTAAGAGTCGGACATGACTGAGCAACTTCACTTTCACTTTTCACTTTCATACATTGGAGAAGGAAATGGCAACCCTCTCCAGTATTCTTGCCTGGAGAATCCCAGGGACGCGGGAGCCTGGTGGGCTGCTGTCTATGGGGTCGCACAGAGTCGGACACAACTGAAGCGACTTAGCAGCAGCAGAAGAGTGGAGGGCTTGGGGTGGGGGTACTGGGACTATACGGTTGACTCAGGTTTCATGAGACTTGGAATGTCAGGCTCACTAGTTGGAACTTCATTCTTAAAGTCATGGGAGGCCACTGCAAGTTTTTGCACAGGTTAGGACAAGGACAAGTGTTTGTTGTAGAAAGAAGAATCCAGTTTTAGTCAACACAGTGGGCACTCAGATATGTGCTGTGTGAGTGGACTCTGGAAAGACACCTTAACCAAGTCCTTTGGTGGAGAGAGCAGGAGGTATCAGGTGCTAGAAGTCTGGATGGAAAGCTCTCGGAATGGCAGTGAGATATGCACACCCCTATCTGACCATGGCTTGAAAAACAAGGAAGCCTATTAGTTCCGCCTGGAAGCTCACAGGAAGGACAGGCTTCAGGACCCTGAAGACCCAGAGTCCTCCCCCCGCTCCTGCTCTGTCCTACAGTGTAGGGGCACCCCAGGCTAGGTCCCCCCCGGTGCAGCAGGCTGGCGGCCATCAGAGGGGCTGTGCCTCCTCATTCAGGTCAAGCAGGACGGGGAGAAAGCCTGCTCTCAGGACAGAAAGAGTTTTCTAGAAGCCTCTGTTACTGACCAGGGTTCTTGGCCTCCTTAGCCAATGGAAATTGACCAGAGACCAGACAAGAAATGCAGGCAAGGCTTTACTGGGGCTCCTGTTGCAGCAGGGGTTGGGGGGAGGGTGAGAAGAATCTGCAGGTCCCCTTGTTCGCTGGCTCCCCGAGGCCTGGGGGGAACTTGTTCCTTATATGGAGTGAGGGTAGGGGCGTGTCCAGAGGTTGGCCAGAGGGGTGGCTTAGGTGGTGGTGTGTGCAGGGGGCACCCCAGTACCCTGCTTTTGCTCACCACCCCCTTCTTTTGCTCCAGGCTCTTTAAAAGTTGCAGTTGGGTTTTTTTTTTTTATCTTTTTGCAGCTTTTGTCCAGAGTTTGTCCCAGCTGACTGTGCACATAGTTCATTTTAGTCCCATAGTTTAGTTTCTTTGTATTTTGTTTCTCAAGAAAAGGTGTGTCCAGGTATAAGCATTGCAGCACCACAACAAAGGGTCCCAGGCCCCAGGCCTGCCTCACCTCCAGTAACATTCTTCTCTCGTCCACCCAAGCTGTGTAGCCTCCTACTGTCTCTTGAACTAATCACCCCATAAAGGGAACGGGACCCCCTTGAGACAAACCAGGCCTGTGCCCTGAGCTGAAATGAATTTCCTCCAACTCTTTTTTTTTTTTTTTGGTATAATGTTAATGTTAACATTAAAAGTTTACATTTAATAAATGAGTACCTTCAACCAAAGTAAACTCCCAAGTGTAAAATGATCCTGCTATTCATGAGATAATTAGAAGCTTTAATAAAAAGACCAGGTGACCAGTGACTAGATCAGTGACCAGGTTCAGAAATGAGACACAGCTTTAAACAGTAACGAGAAGTAGCTTCTTTGGAATTTTTCAGATTATGTGTGGAGTTTCATGTATGTGGTAGGTTGTTATAGTAACAGCCCCCAAATCACATGGCCTTATGTGTTACCCTTCCAAACTGATGTGGGCTTGACATGTGACTCGCTTTGGCCAGTTGGACATTAGCAAATGTGGTACAAAAGGAGCTTGAAACACCCTTGCGCTTTCAGTTTTTCTCTCTCCTGCCCTAAGAAAGCAGGTAAAGAAGCCGAGGTGAGCTCACCTGGATGAAAATCATGATGCCTCTAGCTCTTCTGGGCTCCTCAGCGGGGAAGAGAGAGAAAGAATGTCTACCAAATCAATCACATTGTCTAAAGACACTGTACCGTGTGAACAGTCAATGACAAAAGTCGTACACAAATGTAATTAACTGCAATTAGAATAACCTTTTCCTGATGAGGTGATATACTTTGTTATAAAAATCTAAGAATACAGCAGTGACATAAGACAGTTAAGACTTAGCTTATTCCACATTTACCTTGATATTCCCTTGAGGGCACAGTGACAGAGCTGTATAGAAAACTCAATAACAAAGAGCCCGGAGGACCAGCCCTGGCCACCAGAAAACCCCACAGCAAAGTGACAAACAGCCTCAAGCCACTGGGCTGACTTGCTCCACTGCAGCTCGTGGATGAGAATGAATAAACGTCACTCCTGTGTCCACATTCCAGCAAAGAATAGCATCAAGAACCACCTTTTGGTCAACAGGTTCCTCAGCACATTTTCGTTTGTACCTCTGTCTCCACCTTTCCTGTGGACAGGCTGCAAGTAGGAAAAACTCTGCTGTGAAATGCATGTTGGACCATTTGAGGCTGTCATCAGGTGGGAAAGCGGGCAAGCATGCTGCCCTTTCCTTGACCAAATGCAGTCGTTAGAGCCACGGTTTCACTGCACTTGGAGAGAGCTTTGCTCACGTTTGCACAGAATGGTGCAGAGTCATAGCCTCAGGGAGTCAAGAAGTCATTAGATCCATCCTTCTTTTGGACAATTACACTTAAGCCTTCCCAAGAGGTCCTTTATCTTCTTCAGTGGGGAGGGAACAGACTGGGTAACGCCCTGAGGCCCATCTGATCTCTGTCAACAGGGCCTTGTTTTAATGATTACCATTACAGAGAAGGGCTGGTTAACTTCTAAACATCAGATTCCTTACCTGTGAAATGAGGAGGCTTCTTAAGCTAGGTTATTACAAGAACATGAACAAAGTACTAACACGTAATAAGGCAGCAATAACACTAACCTCCTACTACAGTTTAAGCATCTGAATCCTTTCTTTGATATGTCTAGTGGCATTTGATAAATATGAAACAGTTCATTGAGAACCACTCTAATAGCAATCTTTCTATTCATTCCTTAACTCCTTGATGCAGAATGTCTTGTTGACCAATTGACTATTCTCTACTACAATTCAACTAATAAAACAAGCAACAGCTTGAGAACAAATTATGACTTAAAAAGTATTGTTCACAAAGACATATTAAGGGACATTCATCATATCATGGCTTAGTATAATCCACCAAAGTTAACTAGAACTTGTCAAAGCAAAAACAAAGAGAAAAAACCAAAAAACCAAAACAAAAGAAAGAGTCACAGAAGTCTAATGTTTTTGGAAAAGAATGCCATCAATCTTTTTCAAGATCTGAGTTCATCTAATGTCAAGAGTCAAACATCCACACAATTGTGGTCACTCTTCTCATCCTAAGGAATGAGTGACCTGTAGATATCATTAAGAAATAATTAAAGTCCTATAACCTGGAAACACCGTTTACATCTCTAACCAGGTCAACAAGAACACAGTACTAGGTTTAGTAAATGCAATATTATCACCAGCCTAACCACAGCAGGTATTATAAGACCCAAACCATACAATAGACTGATCCACCTGAGAAAGTTCTCAGGTCTCTCCCTCAGCATAGTACTGTTTTCTGTAAAATTAAGTGCTATCTAATCTGCTAATTCATGACCAAAAGCATTAAAGATCCTCAGACTCTGGGATCTTGGTAGATTTCTTGTGCAGAAATTCCAGTGAAAATGCTGTTGGAGAAACAGGTCTTGATTCCGGAATATGCTCCATCCTGTATTTTTCAATGTAGGGTGCAGCTACTTCCCAAACCTGAGACACAAGGACAGAGCAGTCAAAGTACTGACAACATTGTTTTCACATGAGTTAAACAGCTTCATCTGAAGTCAAAGCCATTAACTCTACCTGACTGGATACATAGCTGCTGTGGCCTTGCTTTTATCATAAGCCATTTAACACATGACCTGTCAAGTAACAGCTTTTAAAATACAAAGTTCAAAATGTTTCTAAAGTGACCATGAAGGTTTTCAGCTGTTTGCTCTTCTAAAGCAAAACAAGCCACTGAACAAACAAAACCTAGAGGATTCAGTGTGGATGGAATTAAGGATAGAACTGTGTGTTTTCTGAGGCAAGCCTTTAATGATAAGAGGCAGTGGATCTCCTCTGCCCTAGCTCCACGCCCCATGCACTCTGTTCTTTGGATCTTTGTTGCTCAGAGCATGGCCCCTGGACTGGCGGCACCAGCGTCACCTGGGACGAGTCAGAATGTCAGCCCTGCTGCAGACCTGCTGAATCTGAATCTGCATCTTAACAAGATCCCTGGGAAATCCACATGCTCTTTACAGTTTGAGAAGCTCAGCTTCGTAGCCTTGTTCAGGGCTACCCATCAACCTGTTCCCTTTCAAGCATAACACCTTCTCAAATGGAGATCTAGTTTTTAGTTTATATTATGGCTGCTTTTTATTCGGTTGCCCCTGATAGGAAAGGAGCATTTCCTATTCGTTTGTATTACCTTAGAAAATGTATTCTTTCAAAAGCGACCCCATGGACTGTAGCCCTCCAGGCTCCTCTGCCCATGGAATTTTCCAGGCAAGAATATTGGAGTGAGATGCCTTCTCCGGTTTCAAAAGCTAACCTCCTTGAAAAGATAACCTGCACTGCCATGCTCACTCCAGTATTATTTACAATAGCCAAGGCAAGGAAGCAACCTAAGTGTTCACCATCAAATGAATGGATAAAGAAATTGTGATACACACACACACAGTGGAATATTATTCAGCCATAAGAAAGAAGGAGCTGTTGCCATTTGCAACACAGCTGGACCTTGAGGTCATCATAAGTGAAACATCAGACAAATATCATATGATCTCACTTGTATGTGGAATCTAAAAAAACTAAATAAAATAGCTCATAGATACAGAGAAGAGGTTGGTGGTTGCCAGAAGCAGGGAGTGGGGGAGTGGGTAAGGAAATGATTTGACAGTAGTCAGAAGGTACAAAATTCTGCTTGTAAATAAATCCTAGAGATGCAATGTACAGCTTGGTGACTATAGTTAATAATACTGTATTGTATAGTTGAAATTTGCTAAAAGAATAGATCTTAAGAAGTTCCTATCACAAGAAAAAAATAACTGTGTGGTAATGGAGGTTAACTAACTGTAGTAAACATTTTGCAATATATATAGAGATCAAGTCATGTTGTACACTAAGATAATGATGTATGTCAGGCATATTTCAGTTGAAAAAAGGCTGAGTTCTTGCCTACCTCTCTTCTAGCACCAAAGCTGGCAGCAAGCAAGGGAATTCCCCCTCAAAGGGTATGGGGAACACTTAGAAATGACAGGGGTGAAGGTCAAAGGAAAAAACTGTTCTCAAGAGCAGAGCAATAGTTCCAAAGGAAATCAAGCAACTCTAAGGGACATGATAGCTACAAATTACTGCAGAAGGTTTAAAGGAATTTTAAAAATATATTTTAAACATGAGTCCGCATTCTAGGCATCTGTCCCAATTAGACAAGTCTGTAGTCAATGGAACCAGAGGAAAGAAGTGGTAAAGAGAACCCCTATCTCACCCAGCATGATGGGGAGGACACAGCAGTGCACAAGGTGGACACAGAGCCCTTTGAATAAAAACTCGGGAAGTTTGTCTTCCCTTCAGGTCTATGCAGTTGCTGGAGCAGGTAGAGGCAGCATTACAGAAAAAGAGTGTACTTCTGAATAAAAGAGAATCTTCTTGGTGAGGAGGAATCTATGAACTTTCATCTTATTTTCTCCCCATGAATACTTGTCCCAAAATTCTGTTTAAAATTCATTACAAAAATTCATTTCAGCTCCTAATCCTTAGACAGTCAATGTTTGGATACAACATGGGGCACTTGTGAGTCTGTCAAATAGCTTCTTAGTGACCTTAAAAGTTGCATGAGTACCTTTTGGTTCACTTCCAAAAAATAACCATGAAACAGAAGAATAGGAGAATGTTTCTCTACTCCCCACCCCCACTCCGCTTCCCCTTGTGGTGGGGTGATTTAGTCATGAAGTCATCTCTTGTAACCCCATGGACTGTAGCCCACCAGGCTCCTCTGTCCACAGGATTTCCAGGCAAGAATACTGGAGTGGGTTGCCATTTCCATCTCCAGGAGAATCTTCCCGACCCAGGGATCGAACATGGGTCTCCTGTATTGCAGGTGGATTCTTTACCAACTGAGCCACCGGGGAACCCTTGCTCCCTCTTAAAAACCCCAAACTAAAAAACAAGTCAGAAAGCCAGCTTACCTTCTGCTCTACGAGCAGCCTGTGCGCTGCCTCAATGTCTGGGGCCATGAAGCGATCTTTTATCCAGGGCCTGCAGAGAAAGCACGTCACACCATCAGCCAACGTTAACCGCTGCCAGGGTCCACGGTTCTGAAACAGTGTCACTTTCCAGGGATCTGTTTGATTTTACCTCACAACAGAGCGCACCAGGTCATAGACCTTCTCCAGTGGAGTGGTGGTTTTCAAGGGGCGGAGGAACTCTATGCCCTGGCAGGCTGCAAGAAGCTCGATGGCCAACACTGAAACAAGCAGGGACGAGGGGATGGCTGGTTAGAGTGTGACTTCATGCTTGAGGGGTATAAACCCCACGTGAGCTGCCAGCCAACTAACGCATAGTTGGTTCTCAGTCTATCGGTAGAATGAAGCTGCCTTGGTATTTGTATACATTTAAAATCTACTTTTCTAACCCCTCGGCTGCATCTTTAATGCTGAGAAGGGCAGGACTACCCAGGTATTTCAGCTTTCTCCTTCTCCCCTCAGCTGATCAAGATGGATAACCTCTGTTTCCTATTTCCACACTTGGGTAAATTTCCATTTGTCTTCAGTCTTGCTGTTCTCTATGGCCTGAAATACCTGGCACATACACTTTCATCAAAAGACTGACGGAGTCCGTGAATGAGCAGATAACTCTTTGGTTGCCATGGAATTGTTTCTCTAATGTCTATTTTAAACCTTCAATTTCAAAGGCTCCCAACAAGACCACATAGGGAGGATAAGAGAGTGATGAGTAAAGGGTGCAAGGTTTCTTTCTGGAAAGATGAAAATGTTGTAACGTTGACTATGGTGTCGACTCACAACTCTGAATATATTCACAACTCTACTAAAACCCACTGAATTGTACAATTTAGATGGGTGAATTGTATAGTATATGAATTATACCTCAATAGAGCTATTGCCCCCCCCCAAAATGGATACTCAACTCTCTTACATTTATCTTAAAATAATGCTATTTTGTCAGCCAATTGATTCCAATACAGTTGCAAAGATTGAGGAATTTAGAACAATGCCTAAGGAAGGCAGTTTCTCTTTAAGAAACAAACAAGCAGTGATTAAGAAGGCTGGAAGACTTTGACCTAACATTGCCCCACCTATGAACTATCTTGGCCAAAAAATGCTGGATCTAAACTTTGTCAAGTCTTTAGGACCAACTGCAATCCACAAAAAACAGGACAGAACAAACGTACCACCACAAGCACAGTTCAGTTCAGTTGCTCAGTCGTGTCCGACTCTTTGCGACCCCATGAATCGCAGCACGCCAGGCCTCCCTGTCCATCACCAACTCCCAGAGTCCACCCAAACCCATGTCCATCGAGTCGGTGATGCCATCCAGCCATCTCATCTTCTGTCGTCCCCTTCTCCTCCTGCCCCCAATCCCTCCCCGCATCAGGGTCTTTTCCAATGAGTCAACTCTTAGCATGAGGTGGCCAAAGTATTGGAGTTTCAGCTTCAGCATCAGTCCTTCCTATGAACACCTAGGACTGATCTCCTTTAGGATGGACTGGTTGGATCTCCTTGCAGTCCAAGGGACTCTCAAGAGTCTTCTCCAACACCACAGTTCAAAAGCATCAATTTTTCGGCGCTCAGCTTTCTTCACAGTCCAACTCTCACATCCATACATGACCACTGGAAAAACCATAGCCTTGACTAGATAGACCTTTGTTGGCAAAGTAATATCTCTGCTTTTTAATATGCTATCTAGGTTGGTCATAACTATCCTTCCAAGGAGTAAGCGTCTTTTAATTTCATGGCTGCAATCACCATCTGCAGTGATTTTTTTAGGCCCCCAAAATAAAGTCAGCCACTGTTTCTCCATCTATTTCCCAGGAAGTGATGGGACTAGATGCCATGATCTTAGTTTTCTGAATGTTGAGCTTTAAGCCAACTTTTTCACTCTCCTCTTTCACTTCCATCAAGAGGCTTTTTAGTTCCTCTTCACTTTCTGCCATAAGGGTGGTGTTATCTGCATGTCTGAGGTTACTGAGATTTCTCCCGGCAATCTTGATTCCAGCTTGTGCTTCTTCCAGCCCAGCCTTTCTCATGATGTACTCTGCATATAAGTCAAATAAACAGGGTGAAAATATACAGCCTTGACATACTCCTTTTCCAATTTGGAACCAGTCTGTTGTTCTATGTCCAGTTTTAACTGTTGCTTCCTGACCTGCATACAGGTTTCTCACCTGAGGTATGGTCTGGTATTCCCATCTCTTTCAGAATTTTCCACAGTTTATTGTGATCCACACAGTCAGAGGCTTTGGCATAGTCAATAAAGCAGAAATAGATGTTTTTCTGGAACTCTCTTGCTTTTTTGATGATCCAGTGGATGTTGGCAATTTGATCTCTGGTTCCTCTGCCTTTTCTAAAACCAGCTTGAACATCTGGAAGTTCATGTTCACGTATTGCTGAAGCCTGGCTTGGAGAATTTTGAGCATTACTTTACTAGCGTGTGACATGAGTGCAATTATGTGGTAGTTTGAGCATTCTTTGGCATTGCCTTTCTTTGGGACTGGAATGAAAACTGACCTTTTCCAGTCCTGTGGCCACTGCTGAGTTTTCCAAATTTGCTGGCATATTGAGTGCAGCCCTTTCACAGCGTCATCTTTCAGGATTTGAAATAGCTCAACTGGAATTCCATCACATCCACTAGCTTTGTTCGTAGTGATGCTTCCTCAAGCCCACTTGACTTCACATTCCAGGATGTCTGGCTCTAGGTGAGTGATCACACCATCGTGATTATCTGGGTTGTGAAGATCCTTTTTGTACAGTTCATCTGTGTATTCTTGCCACCTCTTCTTAATATCTTCTGCTTCTGTTAGGTCCATACCATTTCTGTCCTTTATTGAGCCCATCTTTGCATGAAATGTTCCCTTGGTATCTCCAATTTTCTTGAAGAGATCTCTAGTCTTTCCCATTCTATTGTTTTCCTCTATTTCTTTGCATTGATGGCTGAGGAAGGCTTTCTTATCTTTCCTTGCTATTCTTTGGAACTCTGCATTCAAATGGGAATATCTTTCCTTTTCTCCTTTGCTTTTCCCTTCTCTTCTCTTCACAGCTATTTGTAAGCCCTCCTCAGACAACCATTTTGCCTTTTTGCATTTCTTTTCCATGGGGATGGTCTTGATCCCTGTCTCCTGTACAATGTCCTGAACCTCCATCCATAGTTCATCAGGCACTCTGTCTATCAGATCTAGTCCCTTAAATCTATTTCTCACTTCCACTGTATAGTCATAAGGGATTTGATTTAGGTCATACCTGAATGGTCTAGTGGTTTTCCCTACTTTCTTCAATTTAAGTCTGAATTTGGCAATAAGGAGTTCATGATCAGAGCCACAGTCAGCTCCTGGTCTTGTTTTTGCTGACTCTAATGAGCTTCTCCATTTTGGCTGCAAAGAATATAATCAATCTGATTTCGGTGTTGACCATCCGGTGATGTCCATGTGTAGAGTCTTCTCTTGTGTTGTTGGAAGAGGGTGTTTGCTACAACCAGTGCGTTCTCTTGGCAAAACTCTATCAGCCTTTGCCCTGCTTCATTCTGTACTCCAAGGCCAAATTTGCCTGTTACTCCAGGTGTTTCTTGACTTCCTACTTTTGCATTCCAGTCCCCTATAATGAAAAGGACATCTTTTTTGGGTGTTAGTTCTAAAAGGCCTTGTAGGTCCTCATAGAACCATTCAACTTCAGCTTCTTCAGCGTTACTGGTTGGGAGCAGCTGTAAAAAGATACCCCACGTCCAAGGTAAGAGAAACCCAAGTAAGACGGCAGGTGTTGCAAGAGGGCATCAGAGGGCAGACACACTAAAACCATAATCACAGAAAACCAGCCAATCTGATCACAGGACCACAGTCTTGCTAATTCAGTGAAACTAAGCCATGCCATGTGGGGCCACCCAAGACTGTCTGGTCATGGTGGAGAGGTCTGACAGAATGTGGTCCACTGGAGAAGGGAATGGCAAACCACTTCGGTATTCTTGCCTTGAGAACCCCATGAACAGTATGAAAAGGCAAAATGATAGGATACTGAAAGAAGAACTCCCTAGGTTGGTAGGTGCCCAATATGCTACTGGAGATTAGTCGAGAAATAACTCCAGAAAGAATGAAGGGATGGAGCCAAAGCAAAAACAATACCCAGTTGTGGATGGGACTGGTGATAGAAGCAAGGTCTGATGCTGTAAAGAGCAGTATTGCATAGGAACCTGGAATGTCAGGTCCATGAATCAAGGCAAATTGGAAGTGGTCAAACAGGAGATGGCAAGAGTGAACGTTGACATTCTAGGAATCAGCGAACTAAAATGGACTGGAATGGGTGAATTTAACTCAGATGACCATTATATCTACTACTGTGGGCAGGAATCCCTTAGAAGAAATGGAGTAGCCATCATGGTCAACAGAAGGGTCCGAAATGCAATACTTGGATGCAATCTCAAAAACAACAGAATGATCACTGTTCGTTTCCAAGGCAAACCATTCAATATCACGGTAATCCAACCACAAGCATGCTCACAGGTAAATCAAGAATGTCAATCTCTCAGAAAAGTAAGCTGGTTTTCAAACTAGTCAATGACATGAATTTTTTTTAAAAAGGGGGGAGGGAGAGGAAATGTTGTAAATGAAAAGAAGCTTAAAAGCTTGACCACTAAATTTAAAGAGTGGGTCTTGAATCTTGGTATGAACAAACACTGGAAAGGCACTGAAATAATCTGGAAAATTTGAATACGTACTCAATGATACCAAGACTTATTGTTGATTTTTGTTGGATGTGATAATGGCAGTGGGTAAGAAAGCATTTGTATTTGAGAGAGGAAGTGTGCAGGAAGAAAACACGATGACAGGGATCTGCTTGAAAATGATTGAGAAATTTTTTTTAAGAAATGAAGTATAATATATTAACTGTGAATCTGAGTGAGGTATATATGAAGGTTTATGGTACTAATCTCTCCACTTCTGAATGTTTTAAAATTATTTCATTAAGAAAAAAAGCCAACTGATGAACTGGCTTAGCCAGAAGGTGTGGATTCTTAATCTTCAGCCAGCATCAAAATCACCTAGAGGGCTTGTTAAGTCCAGATTGTTCTGTTCTCAGAGTCTCTGAGTCAGCAGGTCTGGGGCAGGGCCTGGGTCCCCAGGTGATGGGGATTCCATGCTGAGGACAACTGGCATAGTGGTCGTCAGTGAGGCCTGCATCCCAGCTGGCTGGGGTTACCTTGCTCCACATGCTCAATGACCCTGAGAGCCTTCCTGGCTGCCCATCCTCCCATGGAGACGTGGTCCTCCGTGGCCGCGCTGGTGGAGAGGGAGTCCACGGACGAAGGGTGGCACAGAGCCTTGTTCTCAGAAACTGCAAGAGGCCAGAGACTAAGTGAGGGACATATTGTTCCTAATAGAAAGACGTGCCAGATGACACATGGCTCCCCAAAGCGCTCCTCAGTGTGGGCTGCCCTCTCCAGGAGTTCCTGGTCATTATCACAGCACTAGATGTTCCAAAGTTACTTTGGGAAAAGGAAGTCGTGTGGGGTTTTTTTCCCCCAAAGTAAGAAGGACCCTTAAAATTGTAGGGAGTTCTGAGATAGGACTGGGAAGGGAACCCTCATATTACAAAACAAAGTTGAAAACACAGCAAGCATTTAGCATACCAGGGAGACTAAGGGAAAAAAGAAGTGATGGTCATTTCCAGGACTTGGAGAATAATCTGGTTATGTCAGCACACGAGGTAGGATCAAGATTCAGGCATAGCATTTGCAGGTTGAGGCCGAACCCACAGACCTTGAGCAAGAATATTTAAAGTTGAAACTGTCCAATGATGACATAAGTGGATGTACTCAGTTTAAGGAAGGGCTCAATGACAGCTGGGGATGTCTTGGAGATGTTGGTGGAAGTCTAGAGTTTGGCCTACGTTGCTGTCTTTCAAACTTTATTGTGCATGAATCACTCGGCCTTGTTAAAGTGCAAAGGTTGCATTTCAGGTGGGGCCTGAAATTCTGCTGTTCTAACAAATTCCCAGGTGATGGCTGTATTTTTGGCCAGGGGACTATAATTTAAGTTGCAAGGACCTAGATTACAGAGTTCCTTCTCCCCAGCTTCAGAAGCCAGGAAATGTTCAAGTCAAGAGTTTTTCCCCCACTTTTTTTTTTTTTTTACCTATGAGAGCAGCTTTGAGTTCTTTTCTATGCTAAAGGGTATCCGGAGATAATCCAGTATAAACTACAGTGATTCACTCATCCTATTTTGCCCAGAACTTTCAGGTTTCAGCACTGCAAGCCCTGGGCCCCTAAACCTGCAATATGAATCACCTGGTTTGGTGGCGCTTGTTTAGAAAAGTAACTTACAAGGGGCCAGAAAAAAAAGAAAACCACCAATTTAATTATAATGAGAGCAAGCCAAGCAACTTCAAACAGCTAGGGCAGCTAAACACATTCAAAGGAGACTCCTCAACTTCACAACATTCTCTAAAAATCAGTGACCACCCCACCATGTTAATGTGGGGGCTTCCCAGGTGGCACTAGTGGTAAAGAACCTGCCTGCCAATGCAGGATATGTAAGAGATGCAGGTTCAATCCCCGGGTCGGGAAGATCCCCTGGAGGATGGCATAGCAACCCACCCCAGTGTTCTTGCCTGGAGAATCCCATGGACAGAAAAGCCTGGCAGGCTGCAGTCCATAGAGTCTCAAAGAGTTGGACATGACCGAAGCGACTTAGCATGGATGCGTGTTAATGTGAGAAGTCACTGCCTTTTAAAGGGATTTTTTAGTAAGGAAGTAAGTGAGCAGATAGAAGATTCTGGACAGAAGATGAATTCAGTGGCTCTTTGTTAGCTGTGTTGAGTCTAAGTGTGAGACTTAACTGAAGAAGTGGTGAGGAATAATAGTAACAACTAATATTTAGTGCTTACAGTATGTCAGGCACAGTTCCAAGGCTTTCCATGCATTAATTCACTAACTCCTCAGAATAGCCCTATGAGGTAGGTTTTTCACCCCCATTTTACACAGGAGTAAACTAAGGGTCAACAGGATTAAGAGACTTGCTCCATATCAAACTGCTGATAAATGGACGGAGACAGGATTCAGACCCAGAGGCTGTGTTCTTATTGAACTGCCATTCTATCCTGCCTGTTGGGTAGGATTCCCAGAAAAAATTGCACATGCTTAGCTAAATTTGAATTTCAGATAAAAAAAATAATTTTCAGCAACAAATAAAGTGGTGAATAATTCAAATTTAACTGCATTAAATTTATATTAAGTGCATCCTGCATTTCTGTTTGTTAAATTTGGCAATGATATTGTAGGATTAAGTATTGATCAAAATGAAATCCTCATTAGTTGAAGTCTGAGCATAGATTTGGGAGCCAAAATTCCTGGGTTTGAACTCTGCTTTACTTCTAAGTAGCTGTGCAATATTAGGTAGGTTCTTTAACTTCTTGGATCTTCAAATATCCATCTGTGAAAGAGGAAAGAATAGTACCTGCCTCTTGGTATTGTTTGGCAATTAAGGGAATAAATATAAGTAAAGCCCTTCACACTTCCTTTGTGCCAGGCCCTGTTCTGATGTTATATCTCTGTCCTTTACAGTCTTGAGTCAGAAATCTGCTATCTTCCAGCTCAATTTTCATAGAGAGCATCTTGCTGCTTATAAGCATTTTTGTGTGTTTAACACAGCCTTATGTTTTTAGTGGGAGTTTCACCAGTAGCTATAAACATCTATGTCTTTTTCCTTCTGATGTTCTTCAAATTGAGGTGGGGGGAAAGCCACAAAAGGAAGTTCACATGTGATGTCACATTGTTTCCTACAGAGAAATCATGAAAACTCCCTATTTACAACCTCATTAGTCTATTATTACATTTCAGTGTAATGTTGCTTAGGTTTTATTTTAAATTTTTTCTTGAAACATGCCTGTGTATTAAGAGAGGTAGGATGCACATAGAGGGGGTAGAAAAGTTAGATCTCATTCAAAGACAGAATGTGATACTTTCAGGTGAAATGGAAAGACCCATAGATGGATGGACTTGAATTCTGGTTAAAAGGCAGGGTCCTTACCCAGGGCTGCAGCGGTGCAGTGGGCTATCATGAATCCAGAATTCAGACCGCCTTCGGCCACCAGGAAGGCAGGCAGCTCGCTGAGGGAGGGATTGCAGAGTCTTTCGATTCTTCTTTCACTAATTGCAGCAAGTTCATGGACACCAATGGCCAAATAGTCCAGGGCCTGAAAGAGTGTCTCAGTCAGGTTGGCCTATATTGAGATATGGGCTTCCCAGATGGCGCTAGTGGTAAAGAACCCGCCTGCCAATGCAGGAGACACAAGAGATGCAGGTTTGATTCCTGGGTCAGGAAGATCCCCAGGTGAAGAAATTGGCAACCCACCCCAGTATTCTTGGCTGGAGAATTCTATGGACAGAGGAGCCTGGCAGGGTACAGTCCACGGGATCGCAAAGAGTTGGACATGCTGAGTGAGTGACTAAGGCTTTCACGGATATTGGGATATGCTTTCAGGGTCAGGAGCAATTCTAAAAAGCTTACTTTGGCTGGATATTCACCATGGAAGTTTCCTCCAGAAATAGTCTCTCCCCTGTTGGCAAACACCATCTTTCAAAATTGGTTAAGGCTTCTGCATAACACTTGCTGAAAACCTGGAGCATAAGTCTCTCCCTAATTGCTCGTTTTTAACACTGAGGTGGCAGCCCTTGTACAAAGGTAGGGTGGAGAGAAGAGTCTTTGCATAAGTAGGTGCTGACATACCAGGATACAAAGGTAAACAAAAGAAAACAGAACACAGCCTGAAGCGAGCATGTCAGAGAAGCCACACTGAGCCTCACACAGCTGCTGTCTGCTGGCCCAGGCTGTGCGTGGGTCTCAGGGCCGCTCGGCAGCTCTCTCTCTCCAGTGCTGGGAACCGAGGCAGATGTGAGGAAGAGGAAATAGATCCCTGAGGGGCTGGATGGTCTTTAAAGGCAGTGCTGTCTCTGTGACGCCTTTGCCAGGATGACTCCTGACCCATCACATCACATTATGAGGAGCTAAGTCAACACAGGACATTTTGTAGCAAAACAAGGTGGCGCTGGGGAACCCATACTGCGAAGGAAAGCTGCGCGCCGTCCTTAAGAGATGTGGGCATTCTTACGCTTCTCTGTACAAGTATGGGAACACTGATTTGAGTAAAGTGGCACTAGTGGTAAAGAACCGGCCTTCCGATGCAGGACACATAAGAAATGTGGGTTCTTCCTGGGTCAGGAAGATCCCCTGGAGGAGGGCATGGCAACCCTCTCCAGTATTCTTGCCTGGAAAATCCCATGGACAGCCTGGTGGGCTATAATCCATCGGGTCACAAAGAGTTGGACACAACTGAAGTGACTTAGCACTCACTCACCACGTCAGAAATAAACTCAGGATGGGGAAAGTTATAACTCTGATCAATACTTAGGTAAATGTTAAAAGGCTTCTGTGTAGTACACCAAAGTAGCACTGAACCCCAGGAAGGCTCCTATAAATGCCATGCTACTTAGGGTCTCCACAATCACACTTGTGATGTAGGTCTTCATCCTTCTACCAACAACCCCAGCAATGGGTTTTAGGGCAAATGCCTTCATGAGACCCTTCAGCTGATGCTGGAAATGTCCCCTTTAATCTTTCATCCATCAGTTTCGGAAGCACAGCATGTTAGACTCCAAACCTGAGGCAAGGTTCACAGACCTGTCTCTGCCACTTATCGGCTCAGATCTACAGCCAATAGAGGCATTTAACCTCAGAGCCCAGGCATTTAGTCTATGAAATGGAGCAACAGAGAAGTTATACAATTTTAAGATCTTCATCGGATCTTAAAATTACCAGCTGAAATTCTGTAATTACAGCTTAGTAAGCAGTTAAAAGATACAGGGTTATCTGTTGCACTGTTAATTTCCGTGGTTATGATGTTCTTCACAAATGCTATTGTGTCATTCACCACACCATGGACCTAAAAGACAGTATCAAATGAGTTAATACATGGAATACACTGAGTCTGGGGCCTGCCACATAGTCTGATATTCCTATCAGAACAGTAAGAACGTTTAAGCTGGAATTTATTCTTACTGTAGAGCTAATATGTCAATCATTCCCCATGGACATTTTTCAGTCTAGCTGAGCTAGAACCAAACTTGCTGAGAATAAGGAAAAGAGCATAAAATGAAATGAAAATAAAAAATTAAATTTTATTAAATCATTTTCATTTAATTTATTTAATTTAATTTAAATTTTTAATTATTTAAATTTTCATTTAATTTAATTTATTCTGTGGAGGATTCTTCAGTACACTATGGCTTGGAACTTAGTACAACCTGAAATACTGTCTCACTCTTGAGATGAAGTTAGTTAGCTCCTTATGCTACTAATTTCTATTTTCAAATGTGTTATAACACCTGCAATACAGGTTGCCTCACTCCAGTTTAAAGTTAAGACTCACAGGTTCATTTATAATGGTTTATGTCTGCCTGTTAAGTGCAGATAGATCTAATCATGGATATGCCCTTGAATTGTAGTTGGATTTTCCAATACATCCCTGGCAGTTCTAATAGGGAAAACCAGTAAAACTCCATTGACTGGTTAGGATGGTCTTCTTAATAAGAATTTTTTAGAATTTTTTAAACTTAGGGCACTAAACCTAAACAAGAAGCTGTCTATTGGACTTCTCTACAGGGGGGTTGAGCAAAGCAATTTAAAGGGAAACACACAACTTACCATATAGAACAGAAACTTTGTAATAACTGGACAAACGGGGATATATAGGATATACATCATTTTTAAGAGAGGCCGTAAAGAAATCCGGATTACCATTAACCAGTACACGACTTCCTGACACCTTCCTCTTTATCCCTATCTCAGATTGGAGGAAAGAATAGAAACTTGTTGGGTTTTTTGTTTACCTGTGGACAGCAGCGCAAGGTGTATGCATCTTGAACACGATCGCAGAACCTGTGACTTTCTATGGAAAAGGTAGAGAGGATGGCAAGGGGCATGTTAGCAATTCTTTCCAATTATTTTCAAAAGCAAATAAGTTCAAATAGGCATGCCCAGACCTGCTATTTCAGATGGGTGGTGATCCGAGTCCAAGAGGGACCGAAACCGAAAAGCAACTTCAACTTGCCCACGATGAGGACGAACAGCGTGAATGTCTAGAATTGATGAAGGAGGAAAAGTCTGAGCAATTCTGATATTGAGTGAACTCCCATCACTGGCACAGGACCGCCCACTGTGCTGACCCGGCCCTGAAAAGCCCCAGGGGTCCTTAACCATTGCTCAGAATTAGAAACTTAACTCCTAAAGCAAGATTTTCCGTATTGACTTTATTCTTTCTACTTTAAATAGCCAAATGCAAACTATGAGTTGAGCCCATAGGGAACTCAACTCAAGACACTGGGCCTACCCTGAAAAGATTTAGGCTCATAACAGAAGGGAGCTCAGTGGCCTAATTTCATTAAGTCATTTTTAGACAGGGTTTTTTTTTTTTTTTTTTGGTCCTACTACATATAAGAGTGGGGAGTCCTTCAAAGTCTAGAAAAGATTTCTAGAAAAGCTATCACTTGTACAGTTTTTCTCTCCGATTTTCTAACGGGCACTAGCCGTAATTCCATGCCAATTCTCAAATCCTGCCAACAGATCCTTAAGACAACAAGTAGTTTGATGGGAGTCAGAGCTGGTGGTCTGGGGCAGGTCACTTAACTCTCTGGGTCAACATCTGTCTGTGAAACGTGGTCGTTTCAAGGATCACGTGTGGCATGACTGAGAGGAAGCTGCAGCACTCCCGCGATGGTCCTCCTAGATGGTCTTCTTCTTCCCACCATCTACCCCGCCACTCCACGTCCAAAGACCCTGACCATCCCGTCCCACCCCGCTCCCAGCTCTGGCTGAGTGAACAGCAAACAAACAGCAGAACCATGCTGACCAGTATCGAAGGCTTTGGTGGTGCCCTTGAGCACCTCGAGGGTCAAGGCCGCCACTATGTCAGCTTGCCGAGCGATGGCGCTGGCCCTCTCCACAGCCTCAGAGCCCAGGGAGGTGATCATCTGTGTCCCGTTGATGAGCGCCAGACCCTTCAGGTGATGCAAGAGACATTTCCTAATGCTTTTTGTTGTAACAAGCACTTCTTTTGCTTTCCTATGAGGAAAATTTGCCTTCAGCTGAATGATGTTGATTCATGGCTTCTAAAGTGCAGGGCAGTGATGCTTGTTTAAGTACTCAAGGATGAGTGTCATCACATAAAATTTGGCAAATGGAACAGCTGTGACTAGTTTCCCTGTCATGAGGCAGCAGTGGAGTTCCAATGTAGACGGCATATAAAACCTTTAGCTCTTCATTATTCTATATTTCTTCAAGTTCTCATCTCATCTTATAAGACACCTTGAAAAATTTCTGGTCTGAGGCTCTTGGCTTAGAGCGTCCTAAGTGATGTTGGTTTACAGCATCATTCAGGGATCCTTAGAGATCCTGATTAGAAGTTTAAGTACTTCTGTAAAAGAATCCCTGAGCATCTCTGTACTGGAGATGCCTTTCAGCAAATAAGGGAGAGTCCTTTCTTCAATGACCAACTTAAGCAAACATGGAGGCTATGTTTAAGAAACCAGTGAGGCTGATATTAAGACTGAAAGTAGCACATGACGATTTGTTAAAAGGAACAAATTTTCCTTGAGTCTCTTACCTCTTTTGGTTTCAAAACAATTGGCTTCAATCCATGAGCTGCGAGGACCTGTAGAATGATTTAAAAAGTGAAATGGGTTATCAAATGAAATACCAGCATATTTTTAATTTCATGTAGAATCTAATAGAAGTAAGCTCAAAGGTCTGTCTTCTAAAGATTAGACTTACTGAAATTGGCTCTGTTCATCTTCGCTGATCTATTCTCTAGTTCTGTTCTTTAGTCTGCAAGCAGACTTAGCTTTCGAATAACTTTTGCACCTAAAATTATCAGAGGCTAGTGTCTACAAAATCAATCCTGAATAATGGGTTCTAGGCCCTTTGCATTGTTTGCACTTAGGTGATTCACTTTTTTTTTTTTTAAACTGCTGCCTCCTGAGCACATGTGCATACCCAGATGCAGATGCTCCAAGGCTGGGCTCCTAACTCTGCCCACACTCCCTGGCCTCTGGAGCTTGACCTAAAATTCTCCACCCTCATCCTACTTGTATGAACATCAGCAGAACCTCACACCATCAGAGCAGGGCTTCTCACTTGTATGGCATATGTGTGAGCACCAGTGAAGAGGGGGTGTATGGCCTAAGAGATAGACACAACATCCTCAGAGGAAATGGGCAGAATAATCTTCCGCTGAAATAAAAGAAATGAAAGCAGTCACCAGGTGAATATTTCTCCAGGAAAGAAGGAGCAGCAGGTGAGAAGGAAGACAGAGGTAGCACAATTGACTATCATTTTCACATCTTATTAAAACACCAGTCACATGCCTAATTCTGTCCTGGATGTGGGTCTGAGGGTAGGAAAAATGGAGACAGACAAGTTCAAGGGCAAATACAGTCATAGGAATACAGTCATAGGCAAATACAGCCATAGCAACAGGTTAAGTGCTCCAGGAGGTGGGGAGTGGATAAGGTCCAGTGGAAAATAGTCACGTAAGATGCTGGGGAAGCACACAGGAGGGCAGAAGGGACTCAGCAGTGGTGGGGAAAAGGGAAAGAAGAGGAGGGCAGAGACGGACGTTTCTCGGAGGTCTCAGCAGAAACAGGAAGAGAAGGGTGGACGTGACTGGCCCCTCCACCTTGGACACAGCACGCTCCAGCTGCAGGCACCTCCAGCTTCTGTGATGTACAGTGTTGGTGGGGAAGGATTCGGGTGGCTGGGTAGGGGGGCAAGATGGCAATAATATGTCAAGACTCTTGTAAGCCACTTTCATTTTAAACATTATCCTAAGGACAATGAGAAAAATGACAAGTTTTGGCCAGGGCATGGTCAGAATTGCTGTGTGAAGGCGGTTGAGGGGGACACTGGATGTAGAGAAATAATCAAGATTAGTCTGTAAAGAAGGAAGGTGATCTAGAACTCCAACCCTTAGAAGGACCACCTGTTCTCTTGACTTCTTTCTCCCTGGTCCCCTGTCCCTTGACTCAATGTTAAGTGACCTCCCAGCAAAAGGTCAGAGATGATACTTCAAACAATTATTTGGGCTGCTCTGACAACCCAGGGACCAAACCCACATCTCCTGCATTGCTGGCAGATTCTTTACCATCTGAGCCAGCAGGAAACCCTGAATGAATGTGTAGATGAATAAAGAAAATATTAAAGCTTTGTCAAACCCAGGCCCTTCTGACTGACCACCAGGATGAGAGCTTGGGTGTGTGTGTGGGGCGGTGGAGCCTCCTTTCCAGGGGCCTTATATCAGGGCCATGATCCACAGCTCTGTACCCATTAGACCAGCAACTAGCTAAACCTCCAACAATGTGTGACCTCCTGGATAGGTACTAGGAGTGTTTTAGGTGCAGAAGAAGTTCCTGCAGTGAACACTAGCAGCTTTACCTTTTTACCAAGGTGATCACCAGGTCCAGGAGGCTGATGGTTGTGTAGGGAAGCTAAGAGTATCGCTTAGTTGGACGCCTGTAGCGCACTAAGGGACTTCCCTGGTGCCTCAGATGGTAAAGAATCTACCTGCAATGCAGGAGACCTGGGTTCGACCGCTGGGTTGGGAAGATCCCCTGGAGGAGGGCATGGCAACCCACTCCAGTATTCTTGCCTGGAGAATCCCCGTGGACAGAGGAACCTAGCAGGTTACAGGCCATGGAGTCACAAAGAGTCAGACATGACTGAGTGACTAGGCGTGCACACACATTGCCCTAAGGCTCCTGACTCTGTCTACACTTCTAAGCTTCAGTTATCACAGCCATGGAGTGGGAATGCTTTGTCATCAGGCTGCAGAAAGGATGAAGTGCTAGCAAACACGGAAGTCTACCTGGGGTCCATCCTGGGGAAATGACCGTCACGGAAGGAAGCTATTATTAGTCTTACGTATTTAGCATCAGCCCAGCCGCTCTTTGGAGACCACATCTTCCCTTCTCCAATCAGCCCGAGAGCAAGATGAGAGAGCGGGGCGAGGTCCCCACTGGCACCGACAGTTCCTTTCTCTGGGACATATGGAAGGCAGGAGGCTGGGAGAAACAGAGACCCTGGTTACGTCAAGAGTTCTTCATTCCAGCCAGCCTCGCTTTGACACTGAGACCAACCAATCCCAAGGGATCTAGTATCACAAATGGCACAGACACCCAGGGAAAGACAATTCCTTAAGCACAGGTAATGCTTAAGGAATCTGGCTGAGCTGCTGTAGAAAGAAAGAGGCAAGGGAGAGAAAGAAGATAGGAAGGCAGACCCTCCTGGGAGTAAAGCCTTCTCCATAAGCCACTTTAAGTTTAGACTCTATTCTAAGGACAATGGGAGGTATGACAGGTTTTGGCCAGGACATGCTCAGATATGCTGTGTGAAGGGGTCGGGAGAACTCTATACATAAAGAATTTAGATCAGACTGCCTAGCAGAAAGGTGGTCTGGAACCTGTATCCTACAATGGCCATCTCTTCCCTTCTTCCTTCTCTGCCCCTGGGTCCTCTGCCCCTTTGTTTACTATTACCGTACATGTTCTCATCTGGCCTAGAAATTTCTGGAATTTTTAGCAATGTATCTGAAAGATGTGATCAGGAACTAGCTGTTGTTCATTGCCACCTTATTTCTAGGAGCAAAAAGTAAAAAATGTGCTGAAGAGGAAACTAAGAGAATTCCATAGGACCAAATGGTGTGTAGCCATTAAAACCTATTAGAGACTATTTGAAATCAAGTAAATGTTTATGGACATGAGTTTGAGCAAGCTTCATGAGTTGGTGATGGACAGGAAAGCCTGGTGTGCTGCAGTCCATGGGGTCACAAAGAGTCAGACATGACTGAGCGACTGAACTGAACTGAAATGTTTATTACATTAAAAAAGTAATACAGAATTTCCCTGGTGGTCCAGTGGTTAAGAATTTGCCTGCCAATGCAGGGAACATAGGATTGATCTCTGGTCCAGGAAGATTCCACATGCGACAGAGCAACTAAGCTCATGAGCCACGACTACCGAGCCCACGTGCTGCAACTCCTGAAGCCAGTGCGCCTGCAGCCCGTGCTCCGCAAAGGAGAAGCCACAGCAGGGAGAAGCCCGAGCTCCGCAACAGGAGAAGCCTCCGCAGGGAGAAGCCTCCGCAGGGAGAAGCCCGTGCACTGCAGCTAGAGAGTAGCCCCCACTCCCTGCGACCAGGAAAAGCTCACTGAAAGCAACAAAGACCCAATGCCACCAAAAATAAATAAAACTTTAAAATTGTTTTACAAATTGTTTTAGAAGGATAAAGTGTACCAGGGTGTTAACAGGGTTTCTTTGGGGGAGGTAAAGTCATGGGCAACTTAATCTCTGCTTTTCTGCCTGATTCCTGGTCACCTAGTCAACCAGCTTACCACCGCTTCTAAATGGACATGTACTGTTTTAGATGAAATTCCCATTGGTGGTAGTTTAGTCGCTAAGTCATATCCGTCTCTTGCGACCCCATGGACTGTAGCCAGCCAGGCTCCTCTGTCCATGGGATTTTCCAGGCAAGAATACTGGAGTGGATTGCCATTTCCTTCTCCAGGGGATCTTCCCAACCCAGGAATCAAACCTGGCTCTCCTGCATTGCAGGCAGATTCTTTACCGACTGAGCTATGAGGGAAGCCCCATTAAAAGGGAAATTCCCATTAATTTACTAAAACAAAAACAAACAAAAAGGCTATGTTTCCAAGGTAAATTCAGACTACTGATAGCATTGGTTTTTACAACTGCTAAGTGATGTCAGTAGGATGAAGCCATGCCATCCGTAGGTCAGCTTCCAGGCCATAGTTCACCCTGGGGAATTCTCGGAATTCTAGGACCCAGAGGTGCCTTGGGCTCACCCATAAAGCATAGGTGGGTTCACAGCTGAAGCTGGACTATCTGGGATTTTAGGCTTAGAGTTGGGAGTGGAAACAGGTGTTGAAATCACTGGTGTTCTCTTCAGCACAGCCTTCTATACTATAGATTGTTCATTCAAATTACTGTTTACTTGTTGGCGTTTATAGGTCACTTGTGCCTATGGCTGGGAAGTTCCTCATGCCTCTGTGCTGTGTGACTGCCCGGCCCTGCTTCTGCGCCCACTTCCTCACTGCCCAGGTTCCCGAGCCCCCACTGATCTGGAATGCTTATCCTTATCTGTGGGAAGGGACAGGCTTGGCCTCCCAAGCATGTCACATCTTGTCTCCACACTGGAATCTTCCCAAGAAGCAAGCCCCAAAGGGTCGAATTGCTTCTTATCTTGTCACTAGACAGCTATGTGATCACAGCAAGTCTTTCATCTCTGTATTTCTGTTCTACCTTTGGAAGAGGCTGAATTTCAGTTATTTTTAAGTCTGGCAATCCCACCAGCTGGGGAGCGTGAAGAGTTCAGATTCCCAGGCACCAACCAGAAGTACTGAATTGGTCTTTGGGATAGACATCCAGGAATTGTCATGTTTCCCAGATAATCTGAATAGCTTCTCTAACCACATTCAAGTACCACCGAATCCAAGGTTCTCTCCAGCTCTGAACTTAAGGCCAGACTTAAGGGGCTTGTTCTGATTTTAAATACGCTAAATGCTAAGTGAAGGGTGATAGAGAAGGAGGAAAGGTCACAGGAGTAAGAGTCTCTGCCTCTGCCCCCATATAGCTATCTTCCTTCTTGCCAAGCCCACTTCCCACTCATCATCATCAGTTTGTCTTCTTATCTCACCAATACCTCACCACCCTGTCAATCAAGTCTGCCTGTGGTACCCACCCAGCCTGCATGGAGGGTTATTTGGGGATCCACTGCATTACCATTAAATACTTCGATAACTTGTTTGAGAGTCTCCAGGGAAATGCCACTGTATCCTTTGGCTAAGACATTGATCCTTAAAGCCAAGAGCATCCGGCATCTCTCAGGGATTAGTGGTTTCCCAACACCTACAAAACAGAACTGATATTTTCTCTAAGGTAAACAAAATCCTCCTCCTCCCAGCCACCTCCATCTCAAATTTCTCTCCACCTCTTGGTTCAGGTAGTTGCACTGCCTTCCCTTCTGATTGTCACGCTTCTTCAGGTCTCATCTTCCAGAAAAATGTGAGACTCCAGTTTTGCCTCCCCAGTTCCCTTCCTTGGAAATTTCAGTGAGCCTGCGCCCTCCCCAACACCCTTGGAATGGGGTCCAGTCTTCTCACACAAGCTCTCTTGCAGTCTGATGGGAGGCAATTCTTGACAGTTTCACTTCTCACCTCATCCAGATCCACTCATCCCTGAGTAATTCCATCCCCTGACTGCACCATTCTTTTGGCATGACTGTATTCATGCTCCTCATCCCAATCCTATCCTTCCATCTAGCCCATTCCTTTCTCTGAGATTCAGTTGAAAGGATATCATGTCTGCTGCTCTTCTTCCCTCCTTGGCAGCAGAAATGGCACCCACTCTTTGGAATGTGCTAGTGCCGGTGGCTGATACAGGATGTCTGATGCAGCGCTGCATGGTCACCCCAGGTACCCCCGCAGGGTGCCGCCCCGCCCCTCCCCTCCCCCGGCTTCTCCCACCCCTGCCCGCTTATGGAAAGCAACACAGTACAGTCTGCCCTCAGCATCTGCGGATTCCTTATCTGTGAATTCAACCAACAACTGACACTGGTTGAATCATTCAACCTGTGAATGTAAGAAGCTAGAGATACTGAGGGCTGACTGCACTTCATTCATCAAATCAAACAAAACCTAGGTGGCACTGGAGGTTTGGAATGAGTTACCTGAAGAATGTGAACGAACTAGGTTGAACTGGAGCTCCCTAGAAGAGAAAGTGAAGAAACACCTCTCAGATACCTCACCATGAAAATGTCCCCTCAGCTGGGAAAATGAAGGAAAAATAGTTAAATCTTTGGAGGGACAGAATAAGGCATGATAGAGCAAACGGAAGAAACAGCAAGTCTGTATTCTCTACGTCAACTCGTGTGTGAGTTAACCTAAGTTTCACCCTCCTTGTCTGTAAATTGGAGCAAGTATTATTTCCATTGTTGAAAGGAATTTCTAAAATGAGAATCTGTGTGTCTTTGGTGGGGAGTGAATCAAACTTATGTGAATGTGCGTGTGTCTTTGCTGGGGAGTGAATCAAACTTACTCGAGTTTACTGACAGGAATTACAGTTCTGGCAAATTTCCCAAAACCCGTAGTAATGCCGTAAACAACTAGAATAAAAAACAGACATCATACAATTGGACGCAGGCTGCATTTTTTAAGTCCATAAAAAGAAATACGTAACAAAGAGAAAAAGATACCAGTTTTTTCTTCCACGATTCTGTCTATGACTTCCCTGGATTTTTGCACCCTCTTTTCAGCAGTGGGGGTGAGCTAGGAAGACATTGGGCAGAGCTGAACATGTTGAAGACTTTACATGGGCAGCAAGAAAGGTTAGGACATCACCCGCCTCTATTCAGCATACCTTGATTTTGTAGTGTCCCTTGCCCAAGCTGACCAGGTCCTCTGTGGTCAGACTGTCCCCATCTAAGGCGATGTACTGCACAAAAAGAAGGGAATCTCTGTGAGCGTGAATAGCTTAGTTGCTCAAACAAAAGAGCAGGGAAGCGTCGAGCAGAATCAAGCTGTGGCACTTGAGAAATTTTATCACTACTATGAAACATGAATATGGTAGTGGAAAAGACAGCTTGCTGAAGAGGAGGTTAAGGAAGAAAAATTAGAAATGGAAAGGCAGGACTTCCCTGGTGGTCCAGAGGTTAGGAATCCACCTGCTAATGCAGGGGACAGGGGTTCAATCCCTGGTCCGGGAAGATTCCACATGCCATAGGGCAACCAAGTCCATCTGCCACAACTACTAAAGCCCACGTGCCTAGAGCCAACGCTCTGCAACAAGAGAAGCCACCACAATGATGAAGCTCCCGCTCACTGCAACGAGAGAAAGCCCTGTGCAGCAATGAAGACCCAGCACAGCTAAGATAAATAGGTTAAAAAAAAAAAAAATGGAAAAGCAAAATGTCTTTCCCTATTACATAGAGCTAGATAATGCCCTGTCCTCATGGGTTATGTTTTGCTCAGAAATTTTGCCAGCCCTCCCCCACTTAAATGAGGAGAGGGGGATAAGAGGGGGATACTTAATTTTCTTAACAGAAAGGAAGTGGTTTGAAACTTACCTTCTCAGGTTCCCGGTATTTGCTGTATCTGAAGTCAGGTAAAGGAAAATACCGGGGAATATGGAAAAGCCCCCAGCCCCATCACTGGTGGGAGGGGCCCCAGACAGACCAAGGAGCCTGCAGGAAAGGATACAAGTAAACTCCTTCTGGCTGCGAAGGAATGAAGTCGGGAGACATAGCATCTCCTTCTATAACTGAAACAAGAGTGCAAGAGATACTCGTAATGAATCACAACCCAGAGTCACATTTGGCATAACCGGTAAACCAAGAAAAGAGCTCTTCAATTGCCTTCAAGTTCTATAGAAATGACAGCTTTAAAACAACTTCAGATGCTTTCAGAGAGCAAAAAGTCAGAGATGTAGGCATGTGTGAAAAGGTTTAAATGAAAGTTCAAGATTCAGTCTCCACTTCCATTGCCATTATCAGCTTTATTTTGTTTTAAATTTACCGTTTCAATATATAATGCGTTTAATATTTAGTATTTGAAATGCATTTAATAGATTTAATATTTAAACCTATTTGTTTTAGTGTTTGACAGTTGTGTTAAACAAAATTGATTTACCTTGGTTTTAAAGTGATGCTACTGGCCCCGTCTGCTTGGTTCTTTTGAAGAGCAAAGGGACTTTGAAAATGATCCGGTAAGCAAAGGGCTTTGGCCCTGCAGTCTTGAGTTCGGATCTAGCCTTTGCTATTAGGAAGTAACTCTCCCCCTTTCTGAGTCTGCTGCCTCATTGTTAAAGGTGGGTACGAAGACTGCCTTCCTCACAGGGGCATTTGAGAATTGAAGATTCTCAGGCAGCATGCGTTTTCCCCAGAGTAGATCCCCTGGAGGAGGCCACGGCAACCCACTCCAGTATGCGTGCCTGGAGAACCCTGTGGACGGAGGCTGGCGGGCTACAGTCCACGGGGTCGCAGAGTCAGACACGACCGGGCCACTGGGCACCGCCGCGCACCCAGGAGGGACAGGGGCCGTCCCCGGGGACGCCCGGCTCCATGCTCGCGGCGCCCCCCTCCGGCCACTCACCCACTTCCACGAACTCGTTGTCCTCCAGAGCCGCCCCCAGAGCGTCCTCATTGTCCAGCAGACCCAGGCCGTTGCAGCGGCGCACGAGGAAGCGGGCGTCGTCCACCGAGGCGAAGCCGCCGTTGTCGGGCTTGTTCTTGATGTACCGCCGCACGGCCTCGCGGCCCAGCCAGCCCACCGTGAGCTGCGCGTCCCGGCAGGGCACGGCCAGCCACTCTCCGCGCACGTGCGCCGTGTACCTGGGCATGGCTGCTCCGCCTGCGGCGGCCTCGGGCGGGCGGGGAGCGCTTTATCGCGAGTGACCGCCGCGGTGCAGTCGGCAGCCCTAGGGTGGACTTTCAAACACGCCCCCTTCCTCGCCCTGACTCATTCACCCAGGGGACAAATATTTATCGAGGGCCCCATGGTGTCCGTTTGAGCTTTTGCCACTGAGCGAGGAGCAAGAGCGAGGGTAGGCGCTGCCAGCTACCTGCCCTCCATGTCTGCACCGGACAGGCCTGGGGTCTCCAGCCTGGGGGGGCCCGGCACCTGCGGGCCCTGCTGCTGACCTCCCTCCCCTGGTTTCTGTCGGTGTCCCTTCATTACCGGCAGCTTATAAACACCATGTTCCTGTCTTTATCTGGCATTACTCAACTGTAAAATGCTCTCCACACCAGGAAGTGTGGCAATCCCCATCCATTTGTTTATTCCCCAAATACCTGTTGAGCAACTCTGCCCTTACCACGACTAAGGTTTTCTGAAGCCTCTTCGAGATCATTTTCACAAGGAAAGGTCACCATCTGGGTGACAAGCCACTGTCGCCTGGAGGTGAACAGCTCAGACAGCCATAGGTGGGGCGCAGCTCCACCGCTTATCAGCCTGGGGCGGTAAGTTATTGACCAGCCTGTGTTTCCTCATCCAAAAGCAAAGGGAATTATTTCCTCACTGCACTGTTTGCAGTATCTGTGCCTTGTATGTGCTAAGTTGCCGTGGTCGTGGCCGACTCTTTGTTGACCCCATGGAGCCCACCAGGCTCCTCTGGCCATGGGATTCTTCAGGCAAGAATACTGGGGTGCATTGCCATTTCCTACTCCAGAGGATCCTCCCAACTCAGGGATCGAACCTGGGTCTCACGTTTCCTGTATTGTTAGGCAGGTTCTTTACCACCAGCGCCACCTGGGAATCCCTACCTGTGCTCAAATCCTGGCCCCGGCATTTCCTGACTGTGTGACCTCTGGGCAAGAAACTTGACTTCTCTGGGCCTCGGTTTCTTCATCGACAAAATGGAGATGATAATAGTACCTATTTCAAAGGGCTTTTGGGAGTACTAAATGAGTTCATACATGTAAAGCTCTTAGAGCAGCACCTTGTACAATGGAAATGCTAGGAAATTGCCTGTGATGACTATCATTGAGACTTTTTAAAACAATATATTAAAAAAATATTTATTTGGCTACATCGTGTCTTATCTGAGGCACACGAGATCTTCATTGCATCATGAGTGATCATTCTTTGCTTGGCTAGATATTTCTTACTTCTTCAATCTCATTTTAGGCCTGCTCTTCTCCAGGAAGCATCCTCTACACCCTTCAGTGGGGGTAGATGGCCCTTTTCTGGGCTGCTGTCCTTCTTCTTTAGCATTATATAGAAGTTTTTTAAATTGAAGCATGGTTGATGTACAGTGTTAATTATTGCTGGACAGCAACCATGATTCAGTTGTATATACACATATACGTTCTTTCTAAAATGGTCTTTTCCGTCATGGTTTATCACAGTGTGTTGACTATAGTTCCCTGTGCTATACCGTAGGGACTTGTTGTTTACCCATACTATGTGTAACAGCTTCCATCTGCCAGCCACAGCCTCCTGCTCCCTCTCTCCCCCAACCACCTCCCCAGTAGCGACCACCAGTCTGTTCTCTGTGTCTGTGATTCTGTTTGTTTCATGGATAGGTTCATTTGTATCATATTTCAGATTCCACATGTAAGTGACATCATATAGTATTCATCTTTCTCTTTTGGACTTACTTCACTTAGTACGATAATCTCTAGTTGCATCCATGCTGTTGCAAATGGCATTATTTCATTCTTTTTTATGGCTAAGTAGTATTCTACTATATATATATATGTTAAAGAAAGAAAGTGAAAGTTTGTTCGGTTGTGTCTGACTTTTTGCAACCCTGTGGACTGTAGCCTGCCAGGCTCCTCTGTCCTTGGAATTCTCCAGGCAAGAATACTGGAGTGGGTAGCCGTTCCCTTCTCCAGGGGATCTTCCCAACCCAGGGATCAAACCCACGTCTCCTGCATTGCAGGCAGATTCTTTACCGACTGAGCCAGCAGGGAAGTGCCTGTATATATGTACCACATCTTTATCCGTTCATCTGTCAATGGACATTCAGATTGTTTCCATGTCTTGGCTATTGTGCATAGTGCTGCTATGAACACAGGGGTGCATGTATCTTTTTGAATAGTTTTGTCTGGATATATACTCAGGAGTGGGATTGCAGGATCATACGGAAGTTCTGTTTTTAGTTTTCTGAGAAGCCTCCATAGTATCCTCCACAGTGGCTGCACCAACGTACATTCCCACACTGGATGATTCTCTCTTCTCCACGCCCAGAAATTACTTATTTTTGTTCACTCAGAAATTATGTGTGAACCCAGCCTGGTACAAAGACATTCAACATACACTTATTAGCTGAGTTAAATGTATGTTGAGCTGAGTGTATTAGCTGAGTAAGCGTAGCTGCCACTGAGCTGACTCCAGGTAAATCCCTATGAACATTTGTCTTTAGCGCCCTCTACCTCCTCCATCACATCCTCCAAGACCACCCTCCTGCGTCCCTGGCCCCAATCCTTGTTCAGTATCACTAATTAGTGTGACTGAAAAACGACATTAGCTTAGAGTATGGGGTATGCTTATAGATCAAGGGCAGACTTCTAAAGCATCATCCGGGTCCTTGAATTTGCTCAAGTCCAATCACTTAGGGCTTCCCAGGTGGCCCCAGTGGTAAAGAATCTGCCTGCCAAAGCAGGACATGCGTGTTCTATCCCTGGGGTTGGGAAGACCCCTTGGAGGAGGAAATGGCAACTCCAGTATTTCTATCTGGAGAATCCCATGGACAGAGGAGCCTGGCAGGCTATAGTCCATGGTGTTGCAGAGTCAGACACAACCGAGTGACTGGGCATGCACACAATCACATAGAAGGTAATTATATACCATGAATTTGAGCTGAACTGTCCTCTGAGAGTCCCAGCATGGAGGTGAGTGAGAGCAGGACCTTGAAAAACAGAATCACACTGCAGCGTAGAAATGCCCAAAGGGAGAGGACTGTTGGGGAGAATGAGAGCGGGGAAGTCTCAGGATTACAAGAAGGGCAAGGTGTTGGCTTCAATTTAAGACTTTCCCCCTCTTTTTACTACATTAGCACTTTTGGAGGGTATTTGACGATGATATACCCCCACCCATATTTATCCTTCAAGATACCATTCCTCTTTGCTAGAGCTTACTTGGCCATGGCTGGATCAAAGCCGGGTCAGAATCTCACCTGTGGGAATTTGGAATTAGGGCAGTCTTTCCACGCAGTAAGAACTATCTGCAACAGTAAAGCTAGGGGTAGCCAGACTATACATTGTGGACCAGTTCAGTCCAGTCACTCAGTCGTGTCCAACTATTTGCAAATAAAAACGGAAGATAAGAGTATTGATGTTTCTCTGGTCCTGGTGCAGCGCCCTCTGTCCGTCCTCAGATGCTGATAACCTCCCCTTACCTTGTATTCTTAAAATAATCCTTTTCCCTTTCTGATGTCTAGTCATCGGGCATCCTAACTAATATAACAGTGGTTCCCAAACTCTGTGCTGAGGCACCCTAGGGCCTCATTACATTCATGGGGGAACTTTATTGCTCTCATTTGGATCAAGTTGTATTGTTTTTAATTCTTTCTCTGTGTTGTATGCTGTTTGTTGGTGGAGAATGTTTGCTGATCACTAAGGACATGAGGCAGGCTGAATACCTTCAGGTATACCTGAAGGAAGAAGCAGGGTATTCAGGTTGACCATCTGACCCTAACGGACAGGAGAACAGGCCAGCATGGGGATCCAGGTATGGGGAGCAGGGTGCTCCCACAAGTTTATACATTTTCGGTAAGGGAGTTGATCCTATGTCCACCAGCTGGGTGATGAGCAAATCTTAACCAAGTATTCATGTGTAAGTTTATTTAAAAAGAAAAATCTTAATTATGCTGAATTTTTGGTGTATAGAAGACTCAAACTAGAGCACTTAAAATAAGAGGTAAATAATAATATGTTGACATGTCTATCTTGTGACCATATAGGGAGAGAATGAATATGAAATAATTGAAAAACCTGACATTTATAAATCAAAAGGTTAAGCTTTGCTAAAATTCACTGTACAAAGAACACACTACCAGGGGTGGAGCAGGGGGAGGTAGCTCAGCTTTATTTACGAAAAAAAAATCACTGACAAAACAATAAAAAGCCAAAACTAAAAAGACATTTTTAGTTACAATGTGAGCTGAAGTGTTGTGTGTTTTTTAAGAATTTGATTTTAAAAAGAGAAATATCTGCCATCAGCAATGTGCAGGTCCTTAATCCACTTTTAAGTCTTTCCCCACAAGCATGGCAGTCACGGGGTGCATGGACGCCTTGTGCTCTTGGTAGGTGCGGACGGCTTGATCATGGGATTTGTCAAAGGCAGCAAGGTCCCTGTGTTTAAAAAAGAAAAAAGATGATGACTTGTTGACTTGTTTTGGCAAATTTTATTATGCTTGCAAAGCAAACAGATTAATAATAGATATGTCAGGTTATGTTTTTTTCAGAATTCCTGTCAAATTCATAGTCAAAATAATTTCACTGAGGTATTTTTAAATTGTATCTTGTGGCCAAGATAACAACTTTTTTTCAATTTTACCAAGCATTCCTTTATTATATGTCAAGCAACCTATTCTTCTACCTAATTACAATGTTTGAATTAAACAGGTTTGGCTTTACGTGCTTTATCCTTCTTGCATTTAACTTCAGACACTTTTTTCTTGTCCTTCCCTACTCACCAGTGATCTTCTACTTGATTTTAAAGATCTTCCTGTGTATATAAGATTGCCTTCAATTTATTTCCTTTTCAGCAGCATCCAACCCTATTTGGCTGGCCCATAACAGATAATCTTCTTAAAAAGCTAACGAGATCATCTCAAATTTAAAACATTTAGAAGTATTAACTCCTATCCCAAAATTATATCTATAATCTTTAACA